GTCAGAACTACTCAGTTGACCAGAGCACGACATGCATACTTCTCTGCAAAGCTCTGATCACACTGTTGGCAAGCCTTTTTTTTTTTTTTTTTTTAAAGGACCAGATAATAAATATTTTAGACTTTGCAGGCCATATGGTTTCTGTCACAGCTACTCAGCTTGGCCATAGTAGTGCAAAAGCATCCATAAATAATATGTAAGGGAATCGGCATGGTTATGTTCCAGTAAAACCAGCCCATGGGCCAAAGTTTGCTGACCCCTGCTCTAAGCAGAACTAATTCCAGTTGAGAATTAGCAGATACACTTCCCCCCAGCTAGCCTGTTCAGGAGTGTTTTGCTTTGCCGCTACCAAAAGAGCTTCAGCTAACAATTGCTTTTCATTTCCAGATCCTGTCTCAGAAAGAAGAGTGGGAGAGCAGGACTCAGCACCAACCCAGGAAAAACCCACCTCACCTGGCAGGGCTGCTGAAAAAAGAGCAAAGGATGACAGTAGGCGGGTGGTGAAGAGCGCTCAGGACCTAAGTGATGTTTCCATGGATGAAGTGGGCATCCCACTCCGGGTACACTTAGAGGTCCTTCTTAGGCTTCATCTTAAGCTGTGACAAGTGTACACCCTGAGTACATGTGAACCCCATCACACCATCATCTCTATAAGCCCCATGAGTGCCAGAGCCCCCAAGAGCTGTGCTCCAGACTTGGTGTACAACAGCTTTTCCCAAAGTGGATGTTGGATGTTATAAGTCCTATGAATAAAGCATTTCATGGTCAAGTAAATGTGAGGAAAAGCTGAGTGGGACCAAGTCAGAGAGATTTCTCTGCTATAGAACTTTTCAGAGGCTTTGAATATCTGAGTGTTCTAGGGACAATGTTATGGGCAGTCTTCCTTCATTATTGTTTTGTGTGATGTATGTTGAGAAATTCCTGGTCTAGGGTTAGACAGTCCTGGGGAGAGTGGGAGGCCCAAGGTCCCTATTGACAGGTTCAGGAAGAAGATCTCCCTGGATGGGAGATCACGTGTCATCCCTAGTGAGTAGGGAACACTAAGGGAACCTCAGAATGGATTCCACCAGCCAAGCCTCCAGGACAGAGCAGGTCTCGTGGCATCCCTGACCCAGCTCTCCCCAGTAACACAGGCCTGCCAGTCCTGCAGGCCCTAAGGAATTCCAGGGAACAGGCTCCGATGGGCAAGAAACATTTAACCTAAAGCTGGGCAACTTTTGGAACTGGATTCGGGTGAATTCCGTTCTTTTCCGTGTGTCTATCAGACCATTGCCTGCAATATGTTCCACTGTGAATTCCATTTAATAAATGTGTCCTTTTGGAGGAGGCCAATAGAAACCACAGTGGGCTAAGCCTCAAAATAACTCTTCTCTGGTCCTAAGCAGTAATATAGAAGGAGAGTTATTCCTAAGAGAAATCGCAGCTACCATTTGCTGAGTACATTATCTCATTTAAGCATCACTCACCCGAGTGAATAATGGATACTAATATCATTTCCATCTTATAGATGAGGAAACAGGGACTCAGAGGGATTTGTTACTCATCCAAGATTACACAGCTTGTGGGTGACAGAATGGTCTGTCTGACTCCCAAACCCTTACCCACTAACCGTCGTGTTGGATGGCCCTTCCACTCACCTTCTCATTAGCTCTGTGACTTTGGGCAGTTTGCTTTGTCATTCTGTATCTCATTTTCTCTTCTGTAAAGTGGGAGTGAAAATATCTAGCCACCTGTCTGTCACCTTCCTTGTTTTATTTTTATCTTAAAAAAAAAAAACCAAAAAACCCAGCCATTCCAACTTTGTGGTTAGGATGAAAACTCTGGCAGTGGATGCTGTAATGAGTTATGTTTTAATGTATGCATTCTAAATCTGGCCCTATGCAAGGTGACTCGGATACGTTGCTATTGAATAATCTAGAATGGGTGGGGGCACAGCATGATGGGCAAATATCCTTTGTCTCTTATATTTCTAGGAGACTTTCCTTCAGTTTAGCACAGTCTATATATAGCGAGATTCTCTCTAAAAATGAAATTTAAAAAATTTAAAAATGGATACCTTTCAAGTGTATCCTCATCCACTGTTTTCACACTCTGTATCCTTTCAGTCAAATATTACTCTGTAGACTGAGGTTTGGGACGCTTGGTTTTCTCTTTCTAAAAAGTTTTGCCTTTTTAAAAAAGATAAATGTGGCTGAGTTTTGAATTCAGATATCATTACTTTCCATTTTGATTTTGAAATCATAGGAGGTCTGAAATGTGTCAAGATATTCATTTACTTTTTCTCTTTGCCTTTATTTTTCTACAGAACACTGAGAGATCAAAAGACTGGTACAAGACTATGTTTAAACAGATCCACAAACTAAACAGAGGTACTGATTTTCATTTGTAGAAGCTGTGCTGTGCTATGTGCCAATACACTGTTTTGTGGGCCTGAACTCACTTTGCTAGGATCCCAGAAGACTGGGTCCTGCAGTTGGACCTCATTAGGTGCTGGTCTGCCTGAGCCCAGCCATGCACCTTCAGAGCACAGGGAGGAAGCACTTGTGTGCCTGCCTCAGAGCTGGAATTTGAGATCTGCTCTCAAATCCTCCCTCCCAGATGTGGAGTGCAGCAGACTGAGCCCAGCACTGTGCCTGTGCTCCAGCATCTGTCTGCCTGGGATGTGAGCAGCTCCATCTCCCACCTGCTTCCAGCTTTAGGTACATCTCCCTGTGTCAGCCCATGACTGCCTTGTGGGCAGAGTGAGTTGAGAACGCACCAAACTGGGAATTAAGAACACTGTTCTCTGGCCGGGCGCGGTGGCTCAAGCCTGTAATCCCAGCACTTTGGGAGGCTGAGGCGGGTGGATCACCTGAGGTTGGGAGTTTGAGACCAGTCTGACCAACATGGAGAAACCCTATCTCGACTAAAAATACAAAATTAGCCAGGCGTGGTGGCGCATGCCTGTAATCCCAGCTACTTGGAGACTGAGGCAGGAGAATCACTTGAACCCAGGAGGCGGAGGTTGCGGTGAGCCAAGATCGCGCCATTGCACTCCAGCCTAGGCAACAAGAGTGAAACTGTCTCAAAAAAAAAAAAAAAAAGTTCTCCCCTGGATTGAGTCCCCCAAGCACTCAGGTAACCTTGGACCAATCATGTACCTTTCTGTGTTTGTTCTGCTTCCCTTCCTCCAGAGGATGTCACAGGGTCTAAAGGAGAACACATTTGGCCTTATGAGGTAGAATTTATAGTACGCTTCTCAGGCTGTGTTCATATGAACAACAATCTTCCCCAGCTGAGAGCCAGCCTTTGGCAGGTAGCCCTGAGAGTCAGTCAGGAGCTGACACACCAGAGCCCGCTCAAGCTGAAAGAGCAGCGCTTCCAAATCAGATGCCGGCTGGGCTATCAGCAGGTGACCCAGCATGGAGAATCGCAGGCCAGTGCTTGGGCAGGACATGACCCTACCGGCTCCCATCGCTGCCTGTGCCACCAGTCAGCTGATAGGCGGGATGTACCTGCACCATGGGAAGGGTACCACTCCTCCCACGGGCAGAGCATCCTGCCCTTCCCCTTACCCAAATCCAGTCTGGCTGCCTGGCATGGATGACACATGAAGGCAAAGAGAAATGTTCTGGTCAGTGTTCCCACCTAAGCCCAGTCTGTCTGATGAGCTGCAGATGCCAGCTAACATCACTGTTAATTAACTCCCTCTGGGTTCAAAGTGAACCTGGGTGTGCCCCTGTTCAAACTATTTCTCAATATCGAAGTGCTCCAAATATTGAGGCGTTTAGCATTTCCAAGTCAAGAGTAAATCCACTGTGGTTGGGTGGATGAGCGTGGTCACAGTGGTGAAACTAAATGCTTGGATTTCTGTGATCAGATGGGGTCATCTCCACTCATCACTTCCTGCAGTCACTGCCCATTTCCTCTTGCAATCTGTGACTCTCTCACCTTTAGACCCTGCTTTGGAAGCCTAATTGCAGAAACATGAATGCATGTAAATGTGCAAAATATGTAATTTTGCCCCACAGGCAGCTTTGGTCTTCTCATGTTATAGTTCTTAATCTAAATTGTAGGTGCTAAACAAAACTACGTGCCTTAATGGTAGGCAGAGGTATTTGAAAAATTAATGATCTACTTGTTTGCCGAATGTCCACAACACAAGCTTTGATTTAAAAAAACGTTTTAGGATAGCTTGTTTATTACATACTATTTATTATCATACTTAATATTTCTTGCCTATCAAAAGTAAGAACCTGAAGCTTTATGTTAAATGTTTCTTGCCCATTGGAGCCTGTTCATGGGAATTCTTTGTCCAAGAAGAGTAATGGTATTGTCTCTTTCGATGTGTCTTGGTAATTCAGGCAAAAGGACTGGATTTTTAAAAGCAGTTTGAATTTCTTTCATATCACTAGTGAAGCTTAGTATGTTCCAGAATTCAAGGAGCCTAACTTGTATGTGGATTCCTACTCGTTTATTCTCTCCATTTGTATCTTCCTCTATTCTCTCTCCCAAACCTGCTCCTCTGCCTAGACACTCCTGAAGAAAACCCTTATTTCCCTACGTACAAATTCCCTGAACTTCCTGAAATCCAGCAAACTTCTGAAGGTACCATAAACTTAGACAGCATATCTGTTGTCCGAGCTTTAAATTAATTCTTATAGTTCCATTGTAGGCATAAGATTTGGGCTTTTAGATTTTGTTTTCATAGTCGTTTTTGGCTGGTGAAAATTTTATTTCACTCATTTGCATGATGTGCTATGTGAAAATAACTAAATCCTTCCTAATTCATTAATCTGTTTTTAAGTGTGATGCCCGTGTGCTTTAATAACACTAAAATATTAGGTAATCAGTCATTCAAAAGAGTCGATTGGGATTTGTCACTTCCTCTACTTCCTGGTGGATAGTTTCAAAATCCACTGCTTTTCTCTGCTACAGAGGACAATCCTTACACTCCCACCTACCAGTTTCCTGCATCTACTCCTAGTCCTAAGTCCGAAGGTAATTAAAGGAAAACTGTGTGCCTCTCTTTGTACTGGTGCTGCTACTTTCTTTTTTACCTTGGGGTTTTTTCTGGTGGCTAAGGGCTGCTTCTCAGTCATTTGCTTCCCTCTAACCTTGTGTTTTGTGGTGTTGTCTCACTCCTTGCTGACTGTATCACCGGTGTCTATCCAGATGGTATTTTAGTCCTATTCCCTTAGGGTTTACATGATTAACAGGGTAGCCAGTGTTAGCTTAGTTATAATGCTTTGAACATGTGGGGCTCTGGTAAAAGCTGCCTTTACCCAACTACCCACGGCTTTGTACCTGAGGTGGTCACCTGATGCTGGTGGTTGAGCAGTGACTCAGGGAAGCTGAGTCATTATAGTGGGTGGGCAGGAGGTAGATCGGCAACCATCAACAGGAAAATTACCCGGTTCTCATGCCTGCAACTAACTCATTGCTGGGGCCCTCTTTTCATGGGCCCTCAGGGTATGTCTCTTTGGTAGGGAATTCCTAAAGAGGTATCCAGGTATAAGATTCAGTCATAGTGGGAGATGACATTTCTTGAAAACAAGGGTTTTAGCTAAGCTGGAAAACATTTTATGAAAGAGCTGGATGGGAATTTGTACCTGCTGGAGAAGACAGCCACATTTGTGTCTAAGAAATATTATTTTGGGGGCAAAAAGTCTAAGTGTCAAGGAAGTTTCTAAAAGGTGAGTTAGGGGCAACATCTTAAGAATTATCCTAATAGCAGGGCTTATCTGATCTTTGGATGAGTAACCCAGAACAGGGTGAATAGATATGGTATGGAGGAGGAAGTTTTGTTAAATACTGTTGTAGGATGAGACATTGAGTGCTCTGAACTTCATTCATTCAAGTAGTATTGAACACTTGCTGTGTGCCAGGCGCTGTCGTTGGAAGTAATGCCATGAATAGGACAGGTACCCTGTCCTCAGAAGTTCCCATCTGGTAGAGAGTTCAGCAAGGCCACTTCAGCTTACTGTGTCCAGTGTGGGGGCAGTTGTGACAGCATGTGTCCAGAATGCCACAGAAAACCTTGCCGGCACACAGTGGGTCCTCAGTAATACCTGGAAACACTGATGAGTGAAGGCTCTGGACTATGGAGCCAGAGTTCTTTCTTAGGGATGAATGCTGGTGCCACAATCTTGATACTTCTCCACTCTGATCAGCTCAGCAGACCATCCCTCTCAGCCCTTCTCATCATTGGTAAAGTTATTCATTTGATCATTCACCAAACTCTTATTGATCAGTCATATATGAGATGACACACTGGGATGTGTTGGATACAGTTAAAATACCATAGTCCATTTTTGGTCTCTCATATGCCCCAGTAATTGGTTTCCAACCATTTCATGCCTGGGGCCTATTTTGAATGAAAAGAAAGGTCTACCAAATAAACCCAGACTTGCAGAACTAAAAGCTGATAATTTAATTCTGATCAGTGACTTCCTCAAGGCCAAGAAGAGTCTATTTGGTGTAGAGAGCCCAGTCTTTCTGTCTCATGGTACTGATTACCACACACAAGCATTGGTGAAAAAACAACTGACTGAGCTGAGTTAGGGAGTTTTTTCAGAATAATTTTGACTAGTTGCAGTTTTTGATTTGTGCTTCATTTGGACTTGTGAACCCAGCCAAACTTGTAAGATAAGAGTTTCGTTTAAGGCAAAAAGCACAGAGCATGCAGAAGGCACAGTATCCCACGGACACAGGCGAAGGAAGGCCCACTTGAAGAAGTCCTGTGGAAGGGAGCAGTGGCTCCCATCGGACTAGAAGACTGCCTTAGGCCTGCCACAGGCAGCACCCACAGCTTCCACAGTCAGCTTGGCTGTTGGTCCAAAGACAAGGTTTCATGGCTGCACAGCCAGAGCTCCCGTGTCATCAGCCACCACACCTAGTAACCGCTGCTGATGATCGTGTCTGATTTTTGGCATGCATCGAGTCCAGCATATGAAGGAACTGAATTTCTTTTCATAGAGGCATAAACAGTAAGGGATGTCATGATAACTTGTCACATATAATTTAGAAGCAAACCTTACTATTTTTTAATTTGCAGAGACCGAAAGGAAGAAATAGTCTTAAAAAATAAAAAGGAAAAAATTAGATTGAACATAAAAAAATTAATAGCAAAGATGATTAGACTTTAACACAAGTTTCTAAAAAGACATCCTCCCTGGAGATCTTTTAAAAATAGGGTAAATTCCATCTCACGCCCCCACTCCTGCCTAGATGACATATCCAGGCATAGATCACTGATGTGTTCAATTAGATCAAGGCTTCTTACAAGTGAAGGAAACATTTGAGCTAGATCATTTTAAATAATCACAGGGTTTTGGTTTTGAGGGTTTTTTTTTTTTTTTTTAAACCATTTCAAGAGAGTCTCTGGATTTCTTAATCCTTGATTTGTGGTTTTCATGTTGTCTGTGAGCTCCGGCAGGTCCTCATCAGCCCTGTCCGTGGTGCTGCTCCAGCCCTGTGCTCCTCAGTAGGTGGCCCTGTGCTCTGTGCACATCCTTCTTAACATAGGAAAGATGTATGCCTTTCAAAGAAAGCCATTCAAGACAGATTGGCACCGAGTGGAGGCTCTACCCATAGATGTTAATGTGCATTAAGAAACAACGTTACTGAGAAATCTGAGCCATCATTCCAGAGTGTCTCTCGAGAAGTTTGTTTTTACCGCTGGGTTTTTTGTTTGTTTGTTTGGTTTTAATTCAGGATTTGGAACTAGAATTATTTATGATAGACCTATCAAAGCCTAGCCTAAGGGCTGCCTTCCCTGTCTAAATTCTAGTTGTTTATGCGGTATAAAACAGACATTTCTGAAGATCTTGAAGCTGATTCTCCTCAGTAGTAAGCGACCGTGTGAAAGTTTGTTTATGCTGGCTTAGCAACCTTCTTTTTTCCCCCAGCTACAGTGAAAAAGCAAACTTCTGGCCAGACTTTTAGACTATAAATAGAGTTATCATGTCTCAGTCAATGAGGGTTAAACTGTTCTTTTTTAAAAAAGAAAACTGTAAATTCCAAGAAGGGGCAGTCACTTTTAGTCATTTTGTAATCTTGGAGACTGTTGTCTGTGGGATGGAAGAGATGTTAGCAGAAGGCAGAGGGGCAAACTGTGCAGAAACAGCTTCAGAAATGCAGCCCCCACCTTCTCCCCTGCTGCTTTAAGGAACAGCAGTGTGGTGGCCAACATCTCAGCAGCCCAGAGTGGTAATCCTGTTAATAATAATAGTCTTATAATGACATCACCACCACCTCAGTGACTATGTGGCTGTCATTAATTGAGTCCTTGCCACATACAAGGTTCTCTGCTGAATATATCACTATTGTTATCTCATTTTCATTCTCCCAGCAGCCCCGTGAAGTAACTCTTCATTTTATCAATGAGGAGTATTAGGCTCAGAGAGATTAAGTAATATATGCAAGATTACACAGTAAGTAGCAGAACCAGGATTCAAACCTAGGTGTTTGGGGCTCTATAAACATAGGCTTTTACTCACGCTGCTATACTGCCCTGCGGATTCCTTTCCCCCTCCTGACTCTGTGTTCTTGGTTGTCCTCTTCTTGCCCAGAGGCTCTCTGGTACCCGACTGCAGGCATTCAGCTTCCCCTGAGTCAGTCCTGCCTCAGTCTGCTAAGCCAGTACCTCCCAGATGGTGCCTGGGAATTTATAAATAGGGACCAGGCACAGTGGCTCATGCCTGTAATCTCAGCACTTTGGGAGGCTGAGGTGGGCGGATCACCTGAGGTCAGGAGTTCGAGACTAGCCTGGCCAACATAGTGAAACCCTGTCTTTACTAAAAATACAAAAAAAAATTAGCCAGTGGGTGTGGTGGCAGGCGCCTGTAATCCTAGCTACTTGGGAGGCCGAGGCAAGAGAATCACTTGAATCTGGGATGCAGAGGTTGCAGTGAGCCAAGATTGCACCACTGCACTCCACCATGGGCGACAGGGTGAGTCTCTGTCTCAAAAAAAAAAAAAAAAAAAAAAAGAAAGAAAGAAAGAATATATAGTTAGGAAAACTCCCCAAGTGATTGACAGACAGGATTGAGAACCACGGGATGGGGAAATACTAGTCTTTCCCAGCCCCCAAAAAGAGGTGAAGAAAATTGGCCAGATGCAATTTTGGGAATATGGATATAGGATGAGAATGGAGAATGCAGATTTTAAAGAATTAGCGCCCCCTACTCTGAACATGCCCAAATGATGTTGGCTCACTTGGCACATTTGATGTCAAGAAGAGGGAAAATATTTTCAAATAATGGCTCAGAATTTGCAGCAAAACCAAATAACTGGTATGTTACTTCATGGTCCGTGGCCTCTCCTGACTTTCCACGGCCTGTGAGGACCCGCTGGACCATGTCAGCAAGAAGGTGAGTCCGGGTGAAGCCCCGAGACCAGCTTTTTTCCTGTGCTTTCGGATCCCTCTTCTACCACTTCAGGCTGGTGGTGGCCACTGCCACCTCTCAGTGATGTCCCTCAAGACACCACCTCTAGGCATCCCCAGGTTGTGGTGTCAAAATGGTCTGTCTCAGTGCTTCTTCCTCATTCCTAGAAGAGATTGCACTAAGGCAATGATTTAAAGATGCTCATCTTCTTAGGCACAGCTGTAGTTGAGTTAAAATAATTCTCTACTGGCCTTACAGGATTTGCAAGAATAGCTTTGTTTTGCTTGATTTCAAGCAAATAATTCTATTGTGAAGATGCTTGGCCAGGATCTGTGCCTCCTGCCCCAGACTCCAGCCAGTACTGCCCAGGGGAGGGGCCCAGTTGCTCTCCTAACGAGAGCCTCCCGGGAGATCTCCGCCTAGCAAGTGCAAAAGCCATTGACTGGCCTGCGGGATAGTTAAGAAACGTAGCAGTTACTCCCTTTGCACCTTCACAGCCCAGGAGTTCGATAGCAGATGAAGACGGTGAGTCTTCTTCTAACCCTATGGTTCTCCCAAACTTTCTCCTTTAACTTATTTTTTGCTCCACCTCATTCTCTTCTTCAGAGTTCTGTTTTTTCTCTGACTATGTCTTCTATAACTACTGTACACCCTAGCCTGATCTTTTTTTGCATTCTTTAGAACTTGATGCCACATCTGTAATCCCAGCTACTCAGGAGGTCAGGGCAGGGGGACCCCCTGAGCCCAGGATTTTGAGGCTGCAGTGAGTTACTCCCTCCAGTCTGGGCGACAAAGCGAAACCCTGTCTCTTAAAAAAAAAAAGAAAAAGAAAAAGAAAATAACTTGATGGCCTTTAGCTAAAATGTAGACGGCTTTGTAACGCTTTCCCCCAAGCTGGGCTTCCTGACGTCCTTGCCCTTTTGTTTGTTCTTCCCTTCCCACCCCACCCAGACTCAGTACCCAACTCTACATCTGTGTCTTTTCCCTTGACTACTATTTTTGTTCATGGGGGTCATGTGTGACTATCTTTACCCTTTTATCCTTTCTCTTCCTAAGTGTGAGGGGTAAAGCCAGAGGAGGATTTAAGTTGAGCAGTGGAAGAAAGATTGTGTCAAAAATGAGCCATTAATATTTGGAAAATTGTTTTAAGTTTAAAAGCCTGAGAAATGCATAAAATTGAAATTTAATTGATACAGGCAAGTGGTTATGCAAATGATTTTTGTCCATCCTCCCATTTTAGTTAGTTATGTAGTTTTTCAGAACAACTTTCAACCAGTACTTTCTTCAGTTGTCTTTGAGATTTTTATAAATTAAAGAAAAAGCAACAGAAAAAAAAAGTGATTTGGAAGCTCATTTAAAGTCACTGTGCTTGAAAAAGCAATTATGTGGCTCCTGGCAGTTGTAGGAGAGTGGCTGTCCCCAAATTGAGCTACCAAGGACAGATTGCCAAAGCCCAGAGAAGAATCATTGTGTAAACATTAGAGCCCAGCAGGACCTTCAGAGGCCTAAGTGAGTTGTTTGCCCTGTGTAAATCCCATGCAGTGTTACAGCTTCCTGGAAATCACTGGCATAGGAAGGTCCGAGTGTTGCTGCCAAGGTTTGATGTCTGCTGCCTGGAGCTCTGAGGAGCACAATTAGCACGTGGTTCCACCATGAGCAGGAACCACAAGATTTCTGCACAGCTGAGCCCACTCTGGCATTGTTTTAAAGGCCCTTGGAGAAATACTGAAGGCAGAGCTTCAGGTGCTAGGTAATAGACAATTTGAGAAACATTTCATTTAACGTGTCTTAACTATGTTAAGCACACTTGTCTCATTTGGCTGGCTCTAGTGTGGAGAAATGCAGACATGCTCCTTACACTGTTTTCCCATTCCTTGGTATTTCTAACTGCATACCCATCTTCCCCATTGTGGACTTAGCCTCCCAGGAAAAGGCAGCAAGGAGCAGCAACTATTAATAAAAGGTGTACAGGCCAGATGCGGTAGCTCATGCCTGTAATCCCAGCACTTTGGGAGGCTGAGGCAGGTGGATCACCTGAGGTCAGGAGTTCGAGACCAGCCTGACCAATATGGTGGAACCCTGTCTCTACTAAAAATGCAAAAATTAGCTGGGCATGGTGGCGGGCGCTTGTAGTCCCAGCTACTTGGTAGGCTGCGACAGGAGAACTGCTTAAACCCAGGAGGCGGAGCTTGCAGTGAGCCAAGATCGCGCCACTGCACACCAGCCTGGGCAGCAGAGCAAGACTCTGTCTCAAAAAAAAAAAAAAAAACAGATGTAGCAAGAGTGACTCAGTGTTACCCATTGTCCCTGGAGACCAGCAAGAGGAAAACTAGAAATGTGAGGCAACTCAGAAAACTTGCTTAAACATCACTGAGGGCGGGGGGGGATGCAAAAATCGGGCAAAGGCTTCAGGGGCCGGAAATTGGCTCAGCCAACAGTGCAGTGCATGCCTTGAGTTTCAAGACAGCATCTTTCTCTACCTCTTCTATAAGAACATGGTAATAGAGTAGCCAGTCTTTCAGTTTTCCCAGGATTGGGCAGATGAAGCTGGGGTGAAAGAACACAGTGGGCATCTCTGTCCCGGGGCTACGAGATGACATAGGGAAGTGGAATCTGAAAGACCTTGAATCCATTTCTACTTTGTCTTTCTCACCCTGCAGCCGAGGGCAAATCTTCACAACCTACTTGGGCTTTAGTTTCCTTGTCTGTAAAATGAGGAACTTTGAGTTTTTTGCAAGGTTTAAGTGAGATGACATTAGTAAATTACCAGCCATTGTTAGTCACTTAACAATGGGAGCTATAATTATTATTTTTATTCATAAGCTGAGGTAAAATATTCTTGCATTAGATTTACAAGACAAGCATCAAAAATTAAAAGAATAGATTTTACATGCCCTAGAACTTGTCCTGCGTTATAGTTGTTCAGATGAATCTATATGACTTCAGTTTGTCCTGTTAAAAGTTCATGAGCTGAAATCCACATATCAGAACCTGTGGATCTTTGAGAGAAATGAAAACTTGTTCACAGAGACTCCCCTGCTCCGTTTTAACCTGGCGTGGGTAAGATTTCTCTACCGACACTGAATAAGAAACAAGTGGCTTTTTTTTTTTTTTTTAAGAGAGAAACTCTTGCTCTGTCATGTCACCCAGGCTGGAGTGCAATGGTATAGTCGTAGCTCACTGCAGCCTCAAACTCCTAGACTCAAGCCATCTTCCCACCTCAGCATCCCAAGTAGCTAGGACTGCAGCTGTGCGCCACCATGCGTGGCTAATTTTTAAAAATTTTTTGTAGAGATGGGATCTCGCTATGTTGCCCAGGCTGGTCTTGGATTTCTGGCCTCAAGACATCCTCCCTCCCCAGCTTCCCAAAGCATTGGGGTTACAGGTGTGAGCCACCAGTCCCATCCAAGAAAGGAGCTTTAAGCACATTCAGTTCTTCAGACGCCTCTGTTACCTGCATCCCCCAACTCCAACTTTCCTGCTTCTCCTTCTCCTTTTCAAAGTACATACACTGTTAAACTTCCCAAGTAGTGCTATTTTTTTCCCCATCTTACAAGAACTATTTCTCATTTTCTTCATCCTTTTTTTTTTGTTTTTTTCTTTTTGAGAGAGAATCTCACTCCATCACCCAGGCTGGAGTGCAGGGGCATGATCTTGGCTCACCCCAGCCTCCGCCTCTGGGGTTCAAGCAATTCTTCTGCCTCAGCCTCCCAAGTAGCTGGGACTACAGGCGCATGCCACCACGCCTGGCTAATTTTTGTATTTGTAATAGAGATGGGGTTTTACCATGTTGGGCAGGCTGATCTCAAACTCCTGACCTCAAGCGATACACCCACCTCAGCCTCCCAAAGTGCTGGGGTTACAGGCGTGTGCCACCACGCTCAACCAGTATTTCTTATTTTCTTCTAATAAACCTTCTAGAGTTCCACGTTAGAAAGCTCTAGAGAGAAACATTTTTTAAAGAGCTCAGGCTTAAAAAACAAAACGACGAAAAAAAAACCTCTGAATATTTAAATGCCACTCCTCTCCACCCAGTGAAAACTTTGATTCTTACTTCATGAACCAGGTAATAGTTATAAATTAACCTTCATCTCATCATCTACTAATAAGCTGTAATTTCTCCGTGAGATGTGCAGGGTTTTGAGCTAAAATGCTAGGCTACATTTTAAGCAGTGCATACATCAGCTTCTAACTAAGCTAACTTTTCATTCGGGCATTTTCATTGCAGCACTTTTTCTAATCAAGTCCCTGTAATCAAAGCTCATTTTTAGTTTTCTTTGACATCATGGCATTTTGTCAGTATAATCAGACGTTCTGTTTAAAAAAACAAAAAACTGGAAACACACAATTTTTCAGAATAATCTTTCAAAAAATCTTTTTCTGGATCCCACTTTATCTCCTTCCCCTGTTCTATTTTTAGAAGATAAATAAGCTTACACACTCACTTTAAAATAGTGAAAGGCTTATTGGTAGGAAAAAAACCTTAAGCCCTGTTCAACCTTGATATTGATAAATTCTTAAAAGTGAGGGAAGGAAGTAGGAGAAAAGGCACTTTGGTACCTGATGCCTGTCCCTTATTTGGGCCAAGGGAGACCTGAGACAAATAAAAATGGGGAAAAGAGGCGACAAGAAGTAGTGATTGTTAGAGAGGCTGTCTGAACTAATAGCAATGTTAGCTTATTTATATTTTACAAAATATTCTGGCCTTGTCTCTTCTGAAACTTCAAATGATTTGTATAGAAACAAGGACTTGATTAACACGGAGTCACCTCCATACAGTGAATTCTTTGACTTGGCTTTGCGGGTTAGTTCATGTGCTTTGCTAAAGTTGTCATGAACTTTAGGGAAGGAGTTGGGTCTTCATTCCATGTATGTGAATTTTGAATCCAGATTAGCAAGATGTTAGAACACGGGAAAGGCTATTTCAGACTAACTCGTTTTGGAGTAGTGCTTTGGAGGGATCATCATGGATGTAGTGACTAGATAGAATGCATTTTCGGGACAGTCCCACTTTAAAAACCTGTTCCCATCGATGTGCCTGTGGTCTGATTTTTAGTTCAGAAAGTACAACCACTTCCACAAGGGGTTCAGATCTTTATACATTCTGCAAGTTTTAGAACCCAGTGTCAAGCCTACATAGGGATGTGTGTCATGCCTTTGGAGAGCCACCTCCCACCATAGAGACACGTGTGAGTTTGATTTGTTCCAGAGTTGCAGTTTAGATACTCACTCTGAGTAGTACCTTTGCAGAGGAAGCCGTTTAACCATGGGTCTCTTGTGTTCCAAGGAAACAAATCTACTCAGGGAACCAGATTGAGGTGGAATCAAAACAAATTTTGATGAGGATTTTCTTAAATTCTTCCCTTAGCTGCAGAACTTCTTTGTTAATGATGTGTATGAAAGCTTACCATATAAAACAGGTCAAAGCTGAGGCAAGGAGCTAGAAAACCCACCCTCTGGGCATCTCCTTCCCATCCAGTAGCAGCCCGAGGCCCTGCTAAGAGGCCTTTCAAGACATTGTTGAACTTGGTGGGCTTAACCATACACTGAGCTGGCGCAGCTGGGGATCCATCTCAGCCCCTGCTTCCCATTCAGCCAGACCCAGACCCTGCATTCCAGCTTGGTTGTGTGGATCCTCTGGAGGAGGACCCTTGGCTGTTTGTCCCCATGCATTTCTTGATGTCAGGCAGCAGCATCCGCCAGTTGTGACTGTCCTGCCTGGACTACAGGTTTGGTTGGATGTGCTCTACAAACCTTGCTCCTCTCAAACGTGCGCTGCCGTGGTGTAGCTTCCGGCGCTTCACTCTACTTCTCTCTGCTGGGATCCCTAGTGGGGCTGGATGCTTGTACCGGACTGTGGAAATGGGGAACATACAACTTGGTTCTCTTACCTTCGCCAGACTTCTCCTGATTACGTTTTGTTTTGTTCAATAGATGATGATTCAGATCTGTACTCTCCCAGATACTCGTTTTCTGAAGACAGTAAGTGACTTCGAATAACCTGGTTGTGGGGGAGGAAGGGAAAGTGGTGGATAAAGGAAGATAATCACCCTGTTTTCAGTTTTCGTGAGTTTTAAGTCTTTTGTCTGCACTCTTTCTCCAGCAAAATCTCCCCTTTCTGTGCCTCGCTCAAAAAGTGAGATGAGCTACATTGATGGTGAGAAGGTAGTCAAGAGGTCGGCCACGCTACCCCTCCCAGCCCGCTCTTCCTCACTGAAGTCAAGCCCAGAAAGGTAAGTGCCCGCTTGTCTCTCATTCATCCAGCCTGGGCCTCGTCAGTGTTCATTGAGACCTAGGAGCCTCCATTCTTAGGAATGTGGAATTTGAGTCTGTCCCCTGTCACCTGTAGCAGTGACTTCTTATTTCTTAGCCTCAATGTCCTTCTCTGTCAAATGGGGATAAAAATAGCGTGGTTCCTAGTAAGGATAGTGCGAGGATAAAATGAGATAATGCATGTAAACATTCCTGGTAGCCCTTGGCTCAGAGTATGGGCTTAATTAATATTGACTATCATTATCATCACTTTTTACATTTTCACAAGAGAAATCTTAACTGCAAGATTTGTCACATGTTGTCACATTCTTTGTGCATACTGTGTTCACATATTCATAGCAATGACTATAACTTTAAAAAGAAGCCACACTTTTTAATGTCCATTTACTCATACAACATGTATTATTGAGACATAAGCCTTGGACTTGTTCTAGTGACGACATTAATAAATCTCTTAAAACGCCTGCACCAAACAACACAGTTTTCTTTTTCTTGAGTTTTTTTTGCTTGTTTGTTTGTTTGGTTTTTTTTTTTTTTGAGATGGAGTTTTGCTGTGTTGCCCAGGCTGGAGTACAGTGGTGCGATCTCTGCTCACTGCAACACTCTGCCTCCTGGGTTCGAGCAGTTCTCATGCCTCAGGCTCCCAAGTAGCTGGGACTACAGGTGGGCACCACCACTTGCGGTTAATTTTTGTGTTTTTTTAGTAGAGACAGGGTTTCACCATGTTGGCTAGGCTGGTCCCAAACACCTGACTTGAGTTCTTATCCCTAAAAATGCCCTCTGAAGCAACTTTCTCATGCTATTTGGACAGGTGTTCCATGCATCTTCCAGCCCCAACTTACACCACTTCTCAACTCACAAAAGGCTCTGGCCAAACAAAATTATTTACTTCTTCCTTAAATACACATCCAATTTCATACCTCTGTACCTTTTCCAATCTCATAGACAAATTAATGGCTGTTTTAAAAGCACCACACAAACTTAAGTGGCATCTGCCTGAGGGGTTTGATAATTAATTTGAAAAGAAAGCTGGGTATACCTGCAAATCCCTTATAGGTGCCTTCATCCGGAACCCACTGGGTGTGTTCTCTGCAGATGTATTATGGAAGGATATAGGTATATAAAAATCATTATCTGCCTTCAAGAAGTTTACAGCCTTGCATGAGAAACTTAATATAATCACAGAGCAAAGTACAGTAATGCACAAATAAAAAATTTGCAAAATAGAGCTTATAGTAACCAAAACAGCTTGGTACTAGCATAAAAGCAGACATGTAGACCAATGGAACAGAATAGAGAACCCAGGAACAAATCCACACACTTATTGTGAACTCATTTTCCACAAAGGTGCCAAGAACACACACTGGGGGAGAGACAGTCCCTTCAGTAAGTGGTGCTGGGAAAACTGGCTATGCAGAAGACTGAAGCTAGACCCCCGTCTCTCACCATATATCAAAATCGGTTACTGACTTGAATCTAAGGTCTCAAACTATGAAACTGCTATGAGAAAACATTAGGGAAAATCTCCAGGACATTGGTCTGGGCAAAAATCTCCTGAGTAATACTTCACAAGCACAGGCAACCAAAGCAAAAATGGACAGATGGGATCATATCAAGTTAAAAAGTGTTTGTACAGCCAAGGATACAATCAACAATGTGAAGAGGTAACCCAGTTACCTCTTCCCTATTCCAGTATGGAACAGGGAAGAATGCAGTTATGGTAGCAGCTAACATTTATTGTGTGGTTACCATGGGCCTGGTACTCTGCCCAGTGATTTACATGCGCTGTCTCATGTAAATTGTTTAGTCTTTACAACAACCCCATTTTTCAGATGAGGAAACTGAGATACCAAGAGGTGAAATACTTGTCTAAGATCACCTCGCTAGCAAGGGGTGTGGCAGGATTTGAACCACAGTCAACTGGCTCCAGGACCTGTGTTCTTTCTCACTGCGCTAGTGTGAGTGGGAAGTACAGGCATGTCTGTGGAATGAAAAGCCCATGAGAGTGAAGCAAGGTGAAAGATTTTTCCAGAGCCAGCTTTGATGCTGCTGCCACCTCCTTTCCTGTTGCTTTCTCCTCTCCCCTTCCTGGTGCCTGGTTTTGAGCACAGGACATCTCAAACCTTTTGTGAAGCGAACACCAAAGTTTAACTGGTTGTTTTGAGAAGCAAACCAGCACAACTAAATTGTTCACCCTGACTCCGATTTTATGCTTTGGATATAAAGTTCTTTGATTACACTGCAGCCATCCAAAGTCAGACTGTGTCAGAAGCGAATGCCAGTTGTCATGAAAATAGCTCTAATAGAATTTTCTTTCTACAGAAATGACTGGGAACCCCCAGATAAGAAAGTAGATACAAGAAAATACCGTGCAGAGCCCAAAAGCATTTACGAATATCAGCCGGGCAAGTCTTCCGTTTTGACCAACGAAAAGATGGTAATGTGCATATTAAAGTTCTTTTGTCTCACCTTGCCCATGTTCTTTAATCAGAATGCATTGTGCAGTTGGATTACATTCTTTCCCCCTTGAGACAGACTTGCTTTGTTTTGAAGATAATGACAAAAATGAAATACTTTTACCATTTTCATTTTTGCAGGTGTTCATAAAACAAGTCCCGCGAGTCTGCTTTTAAAAAATCCTCTTACTGTGGCTCTGTTGCTCTTTTTGTGCATGGTTTTAACTAATATTAATTTTTCTACTAACATAAAGATTGATTTTGCTGCTGTCTTTTTTTAAATGTCTAAGTGTTCATTTATCAGGCTTGTCATTAAGTGGACTGAAGTCCAGTTTTTTTAAAGTGACTCTGAACAGGCATAAATTTTGTACAAGTTGCTAGAACATCATTAAAAGCTACATAACTAATAGGATGTTGTGACTTGGAAAAAAGGCCCCAGGCTGTTAGAATCTATCTTTTAGGTCTTCCTTTTCTGACAAGTGCGATATTGCGGACTAATTTCATATTCGACCTGGTTTATGATTCCCTATAACAGTTCACATCCCTAAGCAATTTTGAGTGGGGGAAATGGTGTGTATGCATATAGCAGACCCCCCTGGAAAAGCGGCCTCTTCTGTGAAGCAGGGAGAATTCTTACACATTCAGTAGTTTCATACCTGCCAATCACGTGTCCTTTTATTCACCCTTCCTTAGGAAAAGCTGGTTTGGAATTGTGATCCTAGTTAAGGGGTTCTCCGAAGCTTCATAAACATTGCAGTCCTCCAGCGGGACAGCAGGATGGAATTATTATGCTGGGGGTTGGTTTTTATTAAAATATGGTCACCACAATGTGTGCAGAATAAGCAGGCCTCTGGAATGCAGGCTCCAATTATGTTCCCTTTGCCTCTTCGGCTCTACATGTTTTGAAAGAAGAATCGATTTGACTTCTACTGAGATAAAAATGTGACATCTCTAAAAGAACTGAACGATAACTCATTTTAATTAGGAAAAAAGGTCAACAGGTCACAGACATACTTGGAGTTGTCGTTCTGTAGCGTTCACCATCCACCACAGTTATTTCAAGCAGAAAGTTCAGAGAGGAGCACAGAATTTTACCACTGCCCTTCTTTGGAGGTTCTCTGCTGTTAGAAGATACCGTACGTAAGAAACATGGAAGGTAACCTTGCACCCAGGTGCCCCTGCAAAGAAAGTCATGCTCCTTGGGTTTATTTCCAACATTAATAATAAGTCTGGGACCCACCATTACATATGAATACATTTAAATGATTTCAGGGACTCTGTAGACCTTTGGGTGTTTTTGTCTTGGCAGTATCACCGTTTATAGTTTTTCATGGCTCTTACTGAAGGCTCCCTTTTCTCAATTTCTCCTTTGTTTCCAGCTCCTTTCCCTGGTTCTTAGTCATTTAACCACTACTGAGAACTAGGAAAGACAACATAGTTTTGTTTTTCTCATTGATACTGCAGTAGTTTATGAGAATCTTCCATACCACACTTCTTGGGATCATTTACGTTGTTTTTACAGACCCTGAAAAGTAACACATAGTGCCCCACGGGGCCCTCTTGGAGAATGGTGGTGAGCATGCACATGGATTGCAAAGCTGCTCTGTGTAGTACCAAGCCCTAGGCCAAGCCACTAATGGGGCTTGAACACCAAAGGCAGGCCAGGGCGGAGTAGGAATGTCCAATAGTTTCACCCAATTTAGCTCTGTTCCTCCAAAGAGAAGTTTTAGTTGAATCTTAATCTTTTGACAGTCTGCCCTTCACAGTAGTCGAATTCATCCTTTATGTTTGATTTCATTTCCTGCTATTTTTATCACATGGACAGAAAAGGTGAAGTGTGAGTTTCAGCATGCGAGTCTTGGCTTTTGGTATCTAGTATCTGGTTTGCCAGAATCTGAGCATACACCCCCAAAACACACACTTGCATTGTTAACTGTGGGTAAGTATACTCACTAGTGACAGATGTAGAATCTAAGCCTGCTCTCAGATACGCACTACCTCATTTTGGGAGAAAAACTGCTTTTTCCATTTGAGGTACTGATGTCTGCTTGACTCTGGCAATTTAAATTGTGACTTCATAGGCACATCTATGCATGGTTAGCAGGAGAGGTTGCCCTGGAGCTCACCTTGCCCCTGGAGCATACTCAAATCATTCCAGAAAGATGGAAGAAACACTGTACTGCCTTCAAAACTCCCTACAGAAGACTTACAACCTTGATGACCTAGTCATCTATTTGAAAGACTCATATGAAGGCCTTTTTTTTTTTTTTTTTTTTGAGATAGGGTCTCACTCTATCACCCAGGCTGGAGTGCAGTGATGTGATCATGGCTCACTGAAGCCTTGACCTCCCAGGCTCAGGCAATCCTCTCACTCTCAGCCTCCCAAGCAGCCGGGGCTACAGGCATGCACCACCATCCCCAGCTAATTTCTTTCTTTGTTTTTTTGAGACGGAGTCTCGCCCTGTTGCCCAGGTTGGAGTGCAGTGGTGTAATCTCAGTTTACTGCAATCTCTGCATCCCAGGTTCATGCTATTCTCCTGCCTCAGCCTCCCGAGTACATGGGATTACAGGCATGCACCACCACGCCCGGCTAATTTTTGTATTTTTAGTAGAGATGAGGTTTCACCATGTTGGCCAGGCTGGTCTTAAACTCCTGGCCTCAAATGATCCGCCCACCTCTGCCTCCCAAAATGTGGGATTACAGCCGTGAGCCACCGTGCCTGGCCCCAGCTAATTTTTTTTTTTTTTGGTAGAGATGGGGTCTCACCATGTTGTCCAGGCTGGTCTCAAACTCCTCGGCTCAAGCAATCTACCCCTCTTGGCCTCCCAAAATGCTGGGACTATAGACTTGAGCCACCAAGCCTGGCACGTATGAGGGTCTTTATCTCTGCTTGGTCCCCTCTTATCATAGTAGGATACCTTTTTCTCTTCTAGCCTTGGAATTGGAGATCTATTGGTCAGTCCTTGCTTTGTTAAAAATGACCTTTTTCAGGACTCATTCTTCATCATACCTTCCTCTAAGTCTCTTACAGAAGTTCAGCTCAGTTAAATACATATATATATATATATGTGTGTGCGTGTGTGTGTGTGTGTGTGTGTGTAGTAGGACAGATAGATATTAAAAGAGTGATTACAGACACAGTATACATTTGGAAGTGTAAAACAAGGGGATTTATGCAGCTTGGTTTCTTCCCAGTTCACCCTCACTTTGAGTTCCTTCCCTGACTTTTCAGCGTGGTCATTTAGCCCTGCTTTAGCTTGGTGTCATCGCAAACTTAGTGGGCCTGTCCCCCTGTGATGTGGAATATGAAAAGGGGAATGTGGTATAGTGTAAAGAACACTGGACTAGGAATTGGAAGATCGGGTGGGTCAAATGTGATAATATGGGTACAGTAACTATGAATATTAATAAAGTACTACACAGACATAACCACATTCAGGTGATTTATTTAATTGGAATTTGAAGCTGGTCTCTGGCTTCTATTCAAGAAGCAAAACTGTCTTTGAGGAGAAGCTGGCAATTTTCTGGTGAGTTACCTGCCCTTTTCCAAGGAATTTTTTTTTTTTTTTTTTTTTTTTTTTTTTTTTTTTTTTTTAGCTGGGAGAATAGCCTGTGGTACTAAGGAACTTCCCCAGGCGTTATGGAATTTTCCTTGTCTGCCAGGCCAGAGTTCCTGCTCTGTGTCCAGAAGGATGTTTTTCTATTGGTCTGTTCCATAACAGGATCCACAGCTGAGCTATACTTGGCAGAATCAAATGCAGATGTGAGGGCTGTGTGGTATCACCTTTTTAGCTTTATCTCTGGGCAGCTCAAAGGACTGAGGCTGGTTGCTCTCACCCATCGCTGTTTGACATAACCTCCTGATTCTATTATGGGCACAGCATTAACCTCCACAGTAAAACAATCTGCAGACAACCTTTGGGAATAAAATGAGTTAATTACTTCGGGATCATGAGTACCAAAACTTTCAGGCAGTTTCCCAAAAGAGTTGGTACATTTTATTTAAGAAAAGAGAAAAAAAGCCTAACCATCCCCAGAGGGCAGTTTATAAATAATCTTTGTAAAAATAACAAACATGAAATAGATTTCATGAAACCCCATCATAGTAGGATCTAGAAAGTCCCAGTGTCTAAATTGCCACTCCTGAATAGTTGTGTTTTTGTACATATCGTACCTCCTTTCGCTGAATTGAATAAATATAGAATCCATTTACTACAGAGAGAGCAAGCCTTCTCCTTCAGGATTTAAACCCTAAGTCCCTAAAGACAACTGGAGGAGGTTTTATCTGCATGCAGGAGGACAGGCCTTGTGTTTCAGTATGTATTTCCCTCCGATTTCAACCTAGCTTGATTTCAGTTAAAGGAAGGTTCCCTGCTGTATGTCCATATCGTCCTCTACCTGTAGCAAAAGTGAAAGTAATGCTAAAGATTCTTTTAAAGATCTTAGAAAAAGGGATTGGTAAAGGTCACTAAGAAAGTTAGCAGCCATTTCTACAAGCTGCAAAGGGGATGTTAACTATGTTGTGAGAAAAGTATAGTCAAGAAGAGCTGGTTTGTGAAGCACTAGCATTAAAGACCTGCACACCAGATATGGCAACCCCCTACCTCAGATGTTATAGCCCAGAAGTAGTGAAGTTTGTTGTGCAGTGTTTTCAATCTCAGTAGAAAGTGTATGCATTTTATATTTCAGGTTATTGTAGAAAATCACCCCAACTCTCTTTTCGTGATTACCAAACTTTTTTGAAACATATATACATATTTAATTAGTCATGAACCTCAAACACTTTTGCCTGATGTAAACATTTCTCCAATTTATTAAGGGGAAAACCTGATTTGCTTTGCACGCGTTCGTTTTCCAACGAGTTTCTTCCAGAAACACGTGTTACTCCATGAAATAGGTGCCAGAACTTTATTTGGTTAAATATTATATCCCATGGAATCAAATTATCAGTCTATTGATACCTCATAGTGTTATATAAAGTGAGAAATCTAACTTATTTTTGTCACATAACTCAGAAGTTTTTTCCCCTTTGTTCTGTTATCTGTCTTGTCTAGCTTTTCTTTCACTTTATTTTTTCCCAATTCTTTAACATTTATTTGTTAAAATACGAAGTATATTCTGTCTGTATTCATCCACCATGGATGCTTGTTTAAAATGTTTTTTTCACTGTGTCCTCTGTCTTTACTTATATCATTTTTCACTTTCACTTTACTATGTACGGGACATGGTTTCCTACCTACTCATGTGCCATTAAAGATGCAGTATTAACCAATTGGCTTTTATAAAGTGTCAATATTTGCGTTTATTTCAAAAACCTTAAGGTGGCTTTGCAAATAAGTACTAAAGTTGTACTAGCCCATAAAAATCTGCTCTACTCAACTGGCATAGATGGCTAAATGTTTGGTGTGCTCACCAGGTAATTTGCTCATAACTAATAGTTCTTTGTAAAGGGCTTTCTTTTCTTCGACATTACTGAAGATTATTGCAGAATGCTGTTATGCCCAGATTCAGACTTGTTGTGTAGGCAGCAGTGTGGTACAGAGTTGTCCATCTGTAGTCCATTTTCTTCTGCCTTAGGGCTGAGAATGATTCACTCACTGTCCCCTGCCTCAATTTCCCTGTTTTTGTAAACCTGTCCTCTCCCTCCTGTTTTTGCTGTTGTCAGTAAAAACAGATGATTGCTGCTGTTGAATGCAGCTGCTGTATATACCTGGAAACCACTGCATCTCTACTGGCCTGTTCCTATGTAATCTTTGCATAATGTTATCCTTCTCTTTCTTCCATTTCCCTATCACCAACCCCTATAGAGTCGGGATATAAGCCCAGAAGAGATAGATTTAAAGAATGAACCTTGGTATAAATTCTTTTCGGAATTGGAGTTTGGGAAACCGGTAAGTTTAATAGCTTCAGTGGTTATACACCTTTTAAACTAATGCTGTGGATGCATTGTTGCTGCTAAAGAATCAGATGTTTGTAAGGAATTCAGAAAGCAGGGAGCAGTCATGTTAGTTGTCCGTAGTGGGATTGTCTATTCTCACTACAACCTCTAAGCTTTCCTTTGCCTTACTTCACTGAGAAAGGATAGTGAGCTCTGGAAGTATATCTTGCTGGAATATCCCAGAGAAACACAAATAATAATCATTGCTTGTCTTAGACCTCCCCCGACTAACAACAAGTATCACATGCCTTGTGGATGGCATTATTTCAGTCATTGGTTCACTTCCTTGACCAAAGTCTTTATGGCCTGTGAAAGACAAGCTGAAAATGCATTACACACTGAGAAGACCAGCATTGTCTCTGCTTTAAATAGCATTTGTAAAAGCACATATGTAAATGAAGTCCCAGAACAGGCCAACAAGGACCTCTTTACACAGATGTGACCCACAAATGCAACCCCATTATAGGTGACTTTTAGGGGATGATTTCTATTTCCCAAAGTTTGAAATGAGAGTAAGGAATTTGAGCATATTTAGTATTCAGCCTACTCTTGCCCCATGATATCTCTGAATCGGCTCTGGTACAAATTGACTTTTGGCACTTAAAGGAGGATTTTCTTAGCCTTGCACCCAAAGGAATATAAAATAGAAGGGAGAATTGAGCTCATCCTTCCTCTAGAGATAACTGGAAACTGACTTTAAAACTCTAGTTACTTTAAAGTCTTAATTATTATAGCTGCAAAAAGAATTTACAGGTAGAGGAGTTAAGTGTATAAACACATTTTATTCAATGATTGTATGAGACTTTAAGCATTGGATCCAGCTTTTGAGTTTCTATGGTCTGGATGATAGTTTTATTTGCAGACAGGAATGAATTTTATAGTTCAGTAAAATGTCTTAAGATTTTTTATTAAAACAAAGACAAAGAGAAATTAAGCTGGTGCTTAGGAATTGCTCTTTGATTTGGCGGTGCTGAGCTTTGAAAGTTCAGGCATCTTCTGAGTTAAGAGCACCAGACTTGCAAACAGCCTGCTTGTTCCTCTCTTCTGGTCCCTCCTAGACACTGTCTCCCGATAGCAGCTGAGCTGTCCTGGATGAACAGCGCCACCTAGTGACCAGTGGAGAGGGACGCATCTGACCCAAAGTCTGCACCCTCCTTCTCCCCTTCCCAAAGCATTGGTGCACACCTCATTTCTTCTCCTTCCTCTCCTTTTTTCCCCCCCTCTGCTGTTCACCATTCAGACATCAGTTAAGTCTACCTCAGGAAATCTTTTCCATGTGCAGTATTTAACAGTCTCCTAACCCTTTCTCTTTTCTTCTTTTTCTTAAAACCTGGTCAATTATGTCACCAAGAAAAGCTTTTGCTATGTGTAGTTGTCTTCCCACCCCCAAAACAGACCATGATTGGTATATGAAACAATAATGCCACACTTTAATCAAGGAGAGCAAAAGCTATTAAATTACATTTCATAGAGTCCATGTCATTGCTTTTTGAAGTCTGTTTCAGAATCCACAAATTTCTGCCTATCTCATCTGCCAAACAGCTAAATCAGGTTTGTCTAAAATGTTAGCTTTCAGGAAACATGGTGGAACTTTTTCCTAATTAGTTGTGAATGTTTTACTAAATCTATCATTACAAATAATTTTTGAGGATAATATATAGTATTTTGATGCCAGCATACATTAAATAGTCTCCATGCATAGCTTGATAAATTAACAGTATTGCTGCCAAAAACTTCACTCCAGGTACCACACATCTAACTTCAAACAAATGTTGAGAACACAGTCCAGTTGTATACTGGGGCCTTCCTCTAGCTTGTATCCCTACCCCATTGCTCTAATTGCCTCTTAATTATTTAAAGACTCAGAGATGCTTTTTCAAAATAGCATTTTCTCTGAAGCCACATGCATTCTTTGCACAGGCCTCAGAGTTCTTCTAATGAGACTGTTCCTTTTTGTGTAGGTCTTATTTTAAAAGGTAATACTTGTGAAGACTTGCCAAATTAACTAAATCAATGCCCATATCCTGAGGAATAGCCCTGAAATGAACAGCTCTTTATGGTCTGAGGCATCCTAATGGTGGGCTTATGACCTAGTTGAACCAACAGGGTTTGTGGTAAGGAAAAATTTTTTCTTCACTTACTACTCAAACCACTCTGCCACAAAAGAATAAGAGACATAAATAAATAAAGTGGCATAAACCATGGAAGTTGTTTTGGAAAGTTTTTCAGCCATTCAGAAGCAGAATCAAAACTACCAGATCATGGGAATTAGCATTTCTACTTTTTTTTTTTTTTTTGTCACACCAACTGGGAACCACTTTCCCCCAGTAAAGCCTGTCAGAACTTTGACACTAGACATTTACCCTGAACTCCTTGCTTCCTCCACCCCTTCGCTTAAACCACCCAAAACGAACTGAAATTTCAGCAGGATTCTCACTAAAAAGATACCTTTTTAGCTCCAACAAGTTGTTAGAATAGCAAATAGTTCAAGACTCCAGGGACCATTTTTGGATGGATTATTTAAAACCAGTTTAATTTGTAAACACTGTCCTGTTTATTGCAGTAAAGAAAGAAATGATCATAAGTCATTAGACTTTAAAAAGTCTGCTTCTGCAGATGAACAGTCCAAGTGTATCAAGTGCTTAAAGATGAATGGTAATTGCTAATATCACTTACTTGACGAAATGCAGAATATACATGTGCAGAGATGACATTACTGACCTGTTGCTGTCAGTGGTGAACACACCTTGGAATCAGATTACTTCTCATTTGCAGATATATTACAAAGAGCCTGGGAATCAGCTTTTTCTTCTAAGTTGTTTTCCTCTAGTTTCTTTTTTTTTTTTTTTTTTTTTTTTTTTTGACACGGAGTCTTGCTCTGTCGCCCAGGCTGGAGTGCAGTGGCCGGATCTCAGCTCACTGCAAGCTCCGCCTCCCGGGTTCACGCCATTCTCCTGCCTCAGCCTCCCGAGTAGCTGGGACTACAGGCGCCCGCCACCTCGCCCGGCTAGTTTTTTTTGTATTTTTTAGTAGAGACGGGGTTTCACCGTGTTAGCCAGGATGGTCTCGATCTCCTGACCTCGTGATCCGCCCGTCTCGGCCTCCCAAAGTGCTGGGATTACAGGCTTGAGCCACCGCGCCCGGCCTGTTTTCCTCTAGTTTCTATAGAAATTGACGTTATTTCTATATGTAAGAGCAAGTCAGAATTTCATAATGTGAACCAATTTGAATGCTTCCATAGAGTTGGCTATAATGAAATTTGCACAAAAGTTTAGGAGCTGTTAGTGATCTCCTATTTCTTATCCCCCTAGAGGTCATTATGTAAGAAAACTCAAGTCTAAATAGGCAGAAAAGTGGAAGAGAGGATCCAGAGTTAAAAGTCACCTGTAACCTCTGAATGTTCCACCCTCTGGACTCCTCCCTCATTAAACTTACAACAATCTTTTGGCAAATTTCTGTCTTAGGAATGCAGCTCTAAATCTGACTTGAAGAGTTAAAAGACAAAACAAAAATAACCTTATAGTCCCCTCTTTAAATTCTGGGTTTAAACTCTGTTCTCTAAGAGGGGATGAAAAGTATGTCTCCACCACTATCAAGGTCTAGTTAAATTGTAAAAGGAGATTTTAAAACTACTGGTATGAAATTGCCTAGTGCACTATTTAACACTCATTTTATACGTGGATTTCGTTGCTACAAACCACGGAAAGTACATTTGGTTCAGTCCATTGATCAATCCAGTGATCATAGATTCACATACGTGTTAATACACAATGAATTTTACAGCAGAAGACTGCCTCAAAAATGTAGAATCTTCAGTGTCAATCTTAGTTTGAAAAGAACAATGAGGAATTTAAAAGTTTCTATTTTTGTTCAAATGTGTGTTAATGCTTTTCTTTCCCCCTTCTTTTCTTTTTTTAAGTTTTCAATATTTAGAATCCAATGATGATTTGCTCTTGAAACGTAGACATAGAAACAGACTTCCTAGGTCATGGTCCCAGCTCCCAAGTCCTCAGGCTTCCGCTCCAGCAGGCAGCCTTGTGTCTGTAGGCAGCACCCACTCCCCTTACTTTTGAGTTCACCTTTCTGTGTTGATACAGTTCTCCTAGTGTGCCCCTCCTTGTTTGAGCCAGTCTCCATGTTTGTCTTTATGTCTTTATGCTCATTTCTTCATTTCCTCCTCTGCTTCCCGTCAGCCTCCCAAAAAGATATGGGATTATACTCCTGGAGACTGCTCTATCCTTCCTAGAGAGGATAGAAAGGTAATTCCGCTGTGCCTCCTCCGTTGGACTGTGTGTGCTCTCTAGCCTTGGTTAGTGTGAGTGTGTTGTGGGTTTGTTTTTTGGTTTTTGTTTTTGTTTTTTTCTTAAATCACTTTTTTAAAAACTTGATGCTTTTTTTTTTTTTTTTTTTTTTTTTGGTTTGGTAATAAAACTTTTAACAAATTCTCTAAGACATATACTAATGTTTAGAGGTTTTTAAAGCAATTATGTGTTCTTCTGACCAATAGTATTTGTCACCATCACCACACTCTGAAAAAAGAGAAAATAGGCATTTCCTTAAAGGTAGGTTTTTATAGTTCTCTTTGGCAAGTAGAATGGCTTTTTGAAGCTCTGATGACTTCAGGATTTCCGTTTTATATGCCTAATGTTACATTCTCTGTTTTCATGTCTTCAACTAATTTCCAGTGAGCTCTCGTGTTTTAGTCATGCTATCTTGGCCATATGAAAGTATAACACTAAGAAAAAAATTCATTTTTTCTAACTTAACCTTCCATTCTTTCTCCCTTTCGTCTAAACTAAAACCTTCTTTCCCATCTTTTCTTTCTTGAACCAGACTAATCTAGACAAAGATCTCAGCCTCTGCCAGACAGAGTTAGAGGCAGATTTAGAAAAAATGGAGACGCTTAATAAAGCACCCAGTGCAAACGTGCCACAGGTATTTCCTAGTTTTTCTCATGCCATCAGTTCCTTTTCAAGCTGTGCTTTGTTTTCTTCTTTGTTCTATGGTTGTTGATGTAGTTGAGGTGACGGACAGTGATGCTGGCTATTTTAGGCTGCATGGCTTTCTGACTCCTGTTTTAGACTCCTTCCCCCACCCCTACCCAGTTCATTTTTGCTTGGTTTTCTTTTGAGCTTGGCATCTTCCTTAAAGGGGATTCTTCAAATATATGCAGAGAGGCTGCTAAACTACTCTACCTTACTCTCTTCCTCTGCTTTCCAGGGGCGACCTTTTAAGTTCCCTTCCTTCGCCTCTCTCTGCCTTCTCTGAATTTTCAGGGAGCCATTTTTGGCAGTTTCCTTGTCTTTTTTGCAGCCCTGGGAGATACCAACCTCAGAGATCAGTTTCAAAAACTCAGCAGCAGTGCTTTGGGTACCCTTTCTGTGCATGGCGCTGTCAGAGTAGTAGTGTTTGTTATTTTAAAGGTCAGAAAGTTGTCAATGAAAAATGCACTCAGAGGTCAGATGGCCTGGACACACAAAAAGAGTGTTTGAAACTGAGCCTGCATTGATATTTTAAAGGGAGCTATGTCAAAATGTGGTTTATTAAAGGGTATATGAGACAGAGTAAGAGAGAGAGAGAAAGACACCATGGCAAGTAGGTTTCCAAACAGGAAAAAACCAAATGTTCATAGAATTGCCTGGAGGGCTCCCTGACAAAACAAAAGAGACTCTTAAAAGGAAAAGATATCTTTAGAGAAGATACAAAAGGAGGTGGCTTCGCCTGCAACGCCAGCAATTTGGGAGGCCGAGGCAAGTGGATCACTTGAGGTCAGGAGTTCGAGACCAGCCTGGCCAACATGGTGAAACCCTGTCTCTACTAAAAATACAAAAACTAGACAGGCATGGTGGCGGGCCCCTGTATTCCCAGCTATTTGGGAGGCTGAGGCAGGAGAATCGCTTGAATTCGGGAGGCAGAGGTTGCAGTGAGCTGAGATCACATCTCTGCACTCCAGCCTGGGTGACAGAGCAAGACTCCGTCTCAAAAAAAAAAGATACAGAAGGAATATGGAGCTGAGGAGGCCAGGAAGGTCCACAAACCATGACAGGAAAAGTGGAAACTGCTGATGGACCCATACCACACTTAAGCAGAACGGAGACGAGGGGAGTCAGATCTCCAGCCCCAGTGACTTGGGCGCAAAAGAAGTCATGAGAGCATCAGAGACTCAAACCAGGGAAGGGGTGAAGAGACCGGGGATTTGGCCAAGGGGTCTGGGATAAGAGAGTCAGGAGCCAAGGAGCTGCAGGTTGCTTGAGGGTGTTAGGAATTGGGAATCCAGAGACAGCAGAGCGTGAGGAAGCCAGCAGGGCCAGGGGTTAGGCTCATACTCTCCCTCAGCACTTGAAGGAGCCACCAGAGGCACTGCACACATGGGTGAATCAGACAGGTGATGGGTGGGGCAGGCGTCGGGGGAGGGTTAGGGGCTGAGTTTCCAATTAGGGTGAAGGGACCAGATTAGCCACTGTGGAACTGAAAGTCCCAGGTGAGAAGAGATCACAACTAGTCCTGGAGTGAGAATAGTGACTGTGGCTGTGGTGAGAGCCCATGCTGGGTGTGCCAGCGTGCAGTGAGGCGGACAGATGCAGGCCAGGTCACTGAGGATGTTGCAGTGGGACAGTTTAACTGGTGTGAAGAGCAAAGAATTGAGGGATGGGATTCAGACGAAGACAACGTTAGGGTTTTGGCCAGGCAGCTGGAAGAATGAGGATGTGAGCACGTCACAGAGGAAAGCCGGGAAGAAGATCAGGGCAGAGGCAAGGTGAGGGAGTTGGCTTTAGGTAATGACCTTTGAGGTGTTGGTTGGGTGTCATGTAGGGAATATCCGGTAGGCAGTTGGAACTTTAAGACTGGGGTTCTTGCAGGAGGCATGGGCTTAAGATGGGGATTGGAGTCACCTGAGGAGAGGCGATGGTTAAACTCTGGGAGTAGAAGAAGACACCCAACTAGGGAGTAGATGGAGTAGATGAAAGACTGAAGAGGGAATTGTGTTGAGAGAAAGGATGTGAAACCAAGGACTACCCATGGGGACGTTGGGTGACGTGGAACAGTAGAAGGGGAGAGGGAGAGAAAGGAGAGTTCCCAGAAGCAGAGGGAAAAGCGAGTGGTGGAGCAAGAGGAGAAAGTGTGAGATCTTCCCAGAGGTCCAGAAAGGTGGACTCCCAGGAAGGTCAGTGGATGTGCTGACTAAGATGTTTCCAAAGGCTTTGGAGGTTGCTGGGTGAGTAGTTCATGGCAGTTAGAGTATACGGCAAAGAATCGGGAGCCTGCAGAGGTATAGCACTGAGTGAAAAGATGTGGCCATGGGAGGAAGGAGGGGAGGGGAGTGTTCCCAGAGGATTCTACAGGGTCAAAGTTTTTTCAAGGTGGAAGACCAGACAGGACAGGTGTTCAGAGGTAGGAGACTCAAGAAGGAGAGGATGGGCAGGCAAGACAGTGCAGCCATGAGGGCTGGAGGATGGATGTGGAGGTAAGAGGGGTGTGCTTTCTGAGGAATAATGGGGGTGGCGTGGGGTACAGTCCTCATCGCGGAGCAGAGGGGCCCTCAGAAATGAAAGCACACAAGCCCACCAGGTTTCAGCAGGCAGGGGGCTAGTGGGTGAGTTTGCCTGTTCTTCCCTGTCATTTCCTTTTCTCTCTTTCACAATCTCTTCCTTTTCTTTCTCTCCTTTCCTTAAATGTCTCTTCTCCAAATAATTAGTTTTTCTTAAAATGGTCATTATTAGAGATAAGGGCATTATTTAAGGTAGAAGTATCTTTAAAATTAACCTTTGCATTGATTTATTCAACTACTACCTTATTTTTAAAAACAAGCATGTCAAAGCCTTTGCATTTTTCTCTCAAAGACAACAGAAACCCTAAACTACAGAATTATGTTGCTTTTTCTCTGCATGTAGCTCTTGGTTGTTTTCTTCGTTTTGCGTGGTGCCTGGTAATTTTATAAAACATTCCCTTATTCATGCCGAAATGGTCATTAATAGGGTTGGTGAAATTGCAAATCTCCCCATTTCGGCACTCCTAAATTTGCAGGCATACACAAGTTATCTAAATACAGCGTGGTATTTTAAAATACGCTTTTGTACATTCTGGACCTAAAGTGTTGGGTGACCCTCTCTCTGGATGTGGCATTTGGGGTGCATGAAGGGATCTGCAGTGGGCTCAGAGGGGGTCTGAGGGCTGTGGAGAAGCTGGTGGAGGATGTGCTGTCCATGTCACTAAAGCATGTTGGCCCACGGTGGGCCGTCACCTAGTGACCTGTGACGGAAGATAAGTATGAGCCAGGAGGCCTTCTCCTGACCCACCCAGAGGGCCTTGGCTGCATCCACTGGAAGGCAAAAAATTAGGAAGGCCCACCTGCCCATACAGTCTCCTCCCAGAGAAAGAGCACCACCCTCCACCAGCACTGAAGACCTTTTCCATCCAGCCCCCGTGACTTCCAGAGATCCTGATCTAAACTAGGAAAAGAAATTGACCTCTCTCTTTTTCCTCTTGACTTGAAACATATGAGTCAAAATAAATCATTTACATTATTATTTTTTCTTCTTTTTTTTCTTTTTTGGACATTTACAGAGCTCAGCCATCAGCCCCACTCCGGAAATTTCTTCAGAGACTCCTGGATAGTAAGTTGCTATTTTATTTTGTTTACATTGCTTACTATGTTAAATGTCAGAAATGGGAAGAGAGAAGCTTATGTTTTGGACCCAAAGTGTGTTTTGTTTGTATCAGCCTAATGGCTCTGAATGATGTACAGTTTGGTGATAAGAAGAGATCTAATAATAGTCTTCAAATTATTTTTCTTCTGTTCTCTCCTCTTCCAAATTAATTTTGTGATGATTTGTATTACCTTTCATGAACTTTCCCCATTTCGGCATATTTACCTTTAGAATGGGAGTTTATTTGTCTAAGTTTAGAATCAAAGTTCTTGCCTGGCATGGTGGCTCATGCCTGTAATCTCAGCACTTTGGGAGGTTAAGGCAGGAGGATCACTTGAGCCCAGGAGTTCAAGACCAGCCTGGGCAACATAGACGCTGTCTGTACCAAAAAAAAAAAAAAAAAAAAAAAGCTGGGTATGGTGGTATGCACCTGTAGTTCCAGCTACTTAGGAGGCTGAGGCAGGAGGATCACTGAGGCTGCAGTGAGCTGAGATCGTACCACTGCACTCCAGTCTGAGTGAAAGAGCTAGACTGTGTCCCAAAAAAGAAAGAAAAAAAATCTCATTTGCTGGTTCTTGTGGGGAGGTGAGTGACTGAGACAGGCCACATCTGGTGTAAAGACTGGGGGAGGGGGCCAGGTGCAGTGGCTCACTCCTGTAATCCCAGCATTTTGGGAGGCCGAGGCAAGTGGATCACCTGAGGTCGGGAGTTTGAGACCAGCCTGGCCAACATGGTGAAACCCTGTCTACTAAAAATACCAAAATTAGCCAGGCATGGTCCCAGCTACTCAGGAGGCTGAGGCAGGAGAATCACTTGAACCTGGGAGGCGGAAGTTGCAGTGAGCCAAGATTGCGCCACTGCACCCCAGCCTGGGTGACAGAATGAGATTCCATCTAAAAAAAAAAAAAAAAAAAGACCAGGGGAGGCCAAGAGGGGCCGAGAGGGGGCTAATTTACCTGATTCTCACATAGACGGGCATCTGTTTTCCTGTGTCAGTTCTTTGGACTCTGTCTGGATGATGCATGCATACCCCGCTCCTTCGTGGGGTGCCACCAGCCTCTTCCCCCTGCCAAACCATCCTGAATCCTATAGTAGGAAGAGAATCCTGTAGCCTTTCTCAGCATTTTGCTATGAAGCTGTTATCCCAGCTGAAAATGTTCAGTGCTACCCTCACCTCCTGTTCTACACGTGTTAAATAGCAAACATTTTAGCTTGTATAGATAAGCCCTTGTGGAGCCTTCCTGTACCCAGGCTCACGTTAGTACCTCTATGGCCCTTACTTCTGTTGCTGTATACCTGAGTTATACTCTTGTATTTTTATAATTGCTAGTGTATTATAAACTCCTCAAGGGCAAGGCCCCAGTCTTCACAGTGCCTGGTGCACCCAATGAATTTAGGAAAGGAGCTTGTTCTGGTAGGAGCTTTTCTTATTTTGTCACCATCACATCTGTGTCTTGTTCTTTGAAATATGACAGTGAGGGGAAGACACCCCTATTACCTATTCTAGTAGGGTTGGATAAATCCACAATGAGCAGAGTTGCTGAGTGTATAAGTTTTTTTTGACAGATACTCTGGTCTCTGGGACATATCCTACCTACATTGCTGGAGAACGTGCTTTACAGGAAGAGTTTCATTTGAAAGTCAGCAGGGATTTGGGTATTTGGGTGGAAAAATGGAAAAACTCTCATCTTTTTAGGGTAGTGATCAAAAGCTCTAGCTAGATCCATCATGTTAATTTTTCTTCTATAAATATGTATGTTTCATGATTAATATACCCAGGAGCGTAAGAAGAAATTAAGAAGACATATTAAGATAGCAGCTAGAGAAGCACTGCCTTAGGGGACAGTTCCCGCCTTGAAGAAGGACTGGTGTAAAGTCTCTTGCATTCACTGTGGGGTTGGTGACTAAGTCACCAATATGACAGGTGTCAGGGCTCATGTGTAGCATCGGGACCCATGTCCCCCACTCTGGCTCTGCAGCTTGCTCCCTTTTAAAGAGCTTCCAATTGAGCCGGGCCTTCAGCTCTAAAAATGACAATAAGTCACAGGTCCTCTAGGTCCTAGAGATGTGCCTTCAGAGGTGAAGCCCACCAGATGACCCTAGGCTACCTGCAGATAAAGGATGTCCTCAAGGCCACAGCTCCAAGCAAACTCTCCTTGGTCCCCCCAGGCCACCTCTTTATCCTCAGCTTGTCACTTTGGCAGTCCCGACTGCCTGTATTAACCCTGCTGCCTGCTCCCCTCCTTTACCTCCTCACCTCCATCCCCCAAAACTACACAAGACAGAAAGGGCTTCATGGGACAGCTGGCTGAGGGAATTCCCTAGCTCTACTGGATCCAAGGCACTAAGCTCTGCATTCTAATAGGAATGTAGATATAGTCCCTTAATAGTTTTGGGACAAAACACACACACACACAAGTAAGGTTAGTAAATGAAAAGGCAAAGTGGCAAATGCCACCACAGGCAGTCAGGAGAAAGGAGCACAGGCGTTGAATAACACCATTTTAACAATTTATCAGGCATTTACTATGTGCCAGGTCCTGTGCTTGGTATTTTATCTACCTTACCTCATTTAATCTTCTGAACATTCCAAGATGAGGCATTATTTTTAATCCCCATTTTATAGATGAGGAAATAGGCACATCAAAGCAGTGTAATGCCGTAGTTCCTCAGCAGGTTCAGGGCAGAGCCATATCCAGGTTAGGAACAGTGAAGCTCTAGACCAAGGCACTGGGGTTGACAGTAAACTCTCATGTGCTCCATACTGATTCAAAATTTGGTAATAAGTTAGCGGAAGATATACTAAGGTTTGATGTTTTTGAGCTATTTAAAAACAATTTAGACCTGGCATGGTGGCTCACACTTGTAATCCCAACACTTTGGGAGGCCAGGGTGGGGGGATCACTTGAGGCCAAGAGTTCAAGACCAGTCTGGGCAACATGGCAAAACTTCCTCTTTACAAAAAATACTTTAAAAATTAGCTGGGCTTTGTGGTGCATGCCTGTAGTCCCAGCTACTCGGGAGGCCGAGCTGGAGGACTGCTTGCCCGGGAAGCGGAGGTTGCAGTGAGCCAAGATCACACCACTGCACTCCAGTCTGAGTGATAGAGTGAGACTCTGTCTCAAGAAGAAACAAAAAACAACCTTAACCCCTGCCAACAATTTAAGAAACCATTTATGACATTGAGTTAGCAGGATTGGAGGGTACTAATGTAAGCTGATTAAAAGAGCAAATTGTTTTCAGACACTCTGAATGTGCATGAAGACATTCAATCTGTTAATTTACCAAGAATTCTTATTTATATCACTGAAAATAGGTCTTCAAAGTCTCTGTTTTTCAGCTCTCATGAAATACTTGGCAGGAATAAATGAGTTTTTTCCTCCTACTATTCTCCCATTTGGGGATTTTTCAGTAATCGGGCTTGGTTTTCCCCCAGTTTATCCAAATGAGTAAGATTTTCTTATATCTGAAATTGGTGAGGAACCAGCCTAAGTGGGGCGCCTGACACAAAGGAAAGCTTACAGTAAATGTTTGCTCAATGAATGGATGGATCTATAAATCTTAATTAACCGAAATCCAACTTGGTTAGCACTGAGGCAGGCAGCTTGTAAGTTGAATGTAGCCATTTTCACTGGTTGGACAGGAATGATGGGTAGGCAGAAACATTGGCAGGACTTGACCTTAACCCAAAGAATGAAGAAGGAGTAGTCACAGGTGGCCCAGGTTCACCGTTTTGTGGCAACTGGAGAAGTGATGGCGTTGTTTTAAGTCCACTTTAATATCTTGGACAGACTTCAGTTGAGAATTTTATTAATTAACCCTGATTACATATGATAATATTAAAAGAACTGGGAATGGAGAGGAATTCACCCATAGTCCCAGTATCCTAATACAACTACAAGTCCTTGCCTTCTATATATATATATTTTTTATAGTTAACATCACAGTGTGTGTCCAGTTTTGTACTTTATTTTCCTAGTATTTCAGATCTATAAATCAGTAGTCTTAACTACTCATTATTTTCATTTCAATGTATTTCAGCGTTAACTTCTTTGCCTAACCAAAGAGCTTTACTCTATTTGACCAGCAGGTGGCACTCAAGAACAAGCAGTTCTTCTCTACATGGTGAGGGTAGACTAGCAAACACTTTTTCCCTTTAATGTGATTTGAGAACAAAACACAGATAATAACCTGAAGAACTGTATGAAACAGCAGAGGTCCTCCTGCTCTTTACAAATGTGTCAGAAATCTGTATGCCTGTAGGCATTTAATTTTATGGAATCATTTATTCTACTAATATTTATTGAACAACCACGCAAGGCACCAGACATGCAAAGATTAAGCAGATAAACTTCCTGCCCTCAAGGGGTTCCAGGTGTAATAGGGGAGACAGATTTGTAAATAACCAGAGTCCAGTGGGGTAAATGCAATGATGGAGCCCAGGAGGGAGGAGTGAGCACCTATTGTTCTGTGGAGGGAGAAAGGTTAAACTTTATAGAGAAGCTGCAAATCAAATGTGAATAACAATATCATCATAAATATAATGTTTTTCATGCAGTACAAAAGACTATAAAATGAAACTTCTAGAGGATTATCTAGACTCCCTCCTGCAAAGCCACCGTTAACAACAGTTAGGTTTTTTTTTCTTCTTCTTGAAATAAGTAAATAATTTTGAATGGTGAATGTAAGCTTTGTGAGGCTGGAACTTTGTGTCTGTTCTGTTGCCTGTTTATGCTCAGTAAATATTTGTTGACCAAATAAATGAGCAGTAGAATGACATGATGAGATCTTTTCTAGACAGAGATGACTGGAGGGCGTCAGGGCTGCAGACTCGGGGAGCAATGTGTGTTTGTTGTACAGTTGTAGGTGAGCGATGATAAGGCGGGAGGTGGAGGGCAAAGGGATTAATGTGAGCTGGGTCCAGGACAGGGAAGAAGCAGGACTTGATAACTGATTAGGCTTAAGGAGCAAGGAGAGGGAGAAGGGGACCGATTTCCTGAGCTTTCTGGGTTAGGCGATGGTTGATGGTTTGGGACATGTTGAGTTTAGGATACCTGAGAAACATTCAGATGGATGTCTAGAAGGCAGTTGAATGTATGTGTCTAGAGCTCAAAAGAAGTGTCTGTGTACATAACAGATTTGCAGGTGGATTTTTGTACAATCTCCCCATGCCTATTAGTTTTGCAAGTGAAAGAAATTGAGGCCAAGAGAAACAGACTGCAAGTTTTTCAACAAGAATGGGTTTGCCTCCACTGATCCACATTCCTTGCTGGAGTCAAGTGGGAATCCCAGTCTCCAGGACTCTGTCCACTGCCTCCAGAGCCTGCCCATTAGCACAATTGGAAATAGTTGGCCCTAGGATAATTGCTCTGTTCTCTCACTTTATTCTTCCAGCAAGTGTGTTTTTGTTGAATCCCCTTGAAACTCAGCAGCCAGCTCTGCATCTTAGCCAGAGGCTGAATTCTCTGTGCTAGCTCTTCTTGCTTGCTCTTCCTGAACCAAAATCTGGCTTAATCAAGGCTGCTCAGAGCTGAGCTTCTGAACTTAACTTGTTTGGTTAAGTACTCAGCTGCTATTCCTGATTGGGCCTTTCTCAACCAGCTGAGGGGATAAGGCGGCTTCTCTCATCCTCTCTGGTACCCTTGAACAGAGCAAGTACTCTGTGACCTTGGGCAAAGGACTTTGACACTCTAGTCTTCAGTTTCCCCTTTTGTACGGCGAAACAAATGGTCTCTCTTCAACATTAGAAGTGCTGATGGATATGATACACTTAAAAACATTGTTGTGGCCGGGCACGGTGGCTCACGCCTGTAATCCCAGCACTTTGGGAGGCCAAGGTGGGCAGATCATGAGGTCAGGAGCTCAAGACCAGCCTGGCCAACATAATGAAACCCCGTCTCTACTAAAAATACAAAAAAAAAAAAAAAATTAGCCGGGTGTGGTGGCAGGCGCCTGTAGTCCCAGCTACTTGGGAGGCTGAGGCAGGAGAATCACTTGAACCCGGAAGGCAGAGGTTGCAGTGAGCCGAGATCACGCTACTGCACTCCAGCCTGGGCGACACAGCATTGTTGTAGAGCTCTTAGGTATTGTTTTTAAATGAGGAGTGCCTCGGTTTCAAAATGTTGCACATCTGGAAAAAGCATGTTTTGTTAGCTTTGGTATCAGAAAAACAATTGGCTGTGGCAAATCCATTCTGAGAGATTTCCTGAGTGCTGGTTTATCGTTCTGGTAGGAAGCAGGGAAAAATGGTGATAATGGGTGGAATAAGGCCAGAGAGTGAGGTGGCTGAGGGGTTGGGGTAGGGTGAGATCTGACCATTGGTGAAGTAGAGCAGAGGTATGAGGTCAGGCAGCCAGTTATGGCCAAGAGTCATGACAGAACAAAGTTATTAGGAACTTAGGAAGATGACTTAGAAGTTCTGGCCAGGCCAGGTGTGGTGGCTCACTCCTGTAATCCCAGCACTTTGGGAAGTTGAGGTGGGTGGATCACCTGAGGTTAGGAGTTCAAGACCAGCCTGACCAACATGGCGAAACCCCGTCTCTACTAAAAATACAAAAATTAGCCGGGCATGGTGGCGCACGCCTGTAGTCCCAGCTACTCGGGAGGCTGAGGCAGGAGAATCACTTGAACCCAGGAGGCAGAGGTTGTAGTGAGCCAAGATGGTGCAACTGCACTCCAGCCTGGGCGACAGAGTGAGAAAAAAGTTCTGGCCAAAGCTGAGGCAATTCAAAGGATAGCAGGCACAGCAGAATGGAAGCTGTTGTCAGTCACTCTGTTAAAAGAAAAACTTTAGACAAATTAAATTTAGCAGATTTATTTAAGGTATAGAAGGATTTATGTTCCAGCAGCCCTCAGAACCAGGGGCAGTTCAGAGAGCTTCACCCAGCAACATGGGCAGGCAGCATTTATAAACAACAAAAGACAGTGAGTACAGCTACAGCTGGATTGGTTGCAGCTCCACAGTTGCCTGTTTGGGCATTTATATAGACATGGGCTGATCAGTTGGTAGCCTGGGATTGGCTGAAGCTTGGCTGCTGTGATTGGCTGAGACTCAGCTACTTGTTATAAGAGCATACTTTTAGATTGTAGTTTGTTTACATAGTTAGGTTGCAGAAGAATAGGAACTCAAAGTATGGAGGCAGCCTCAAGCCCATTTTAGTTTACTGCTCTCCAATGCTGAAGGAGGTGTGGTAGCCCCAAACCAGGGTGGGCGGGGCTTCAGACACCGTACCTTCAAAAGAGACCTCAGTCACCACAACTGTTGGTCAGCAAGGATAAAGGACATCTATTCATGGATGTTTTTGCTGTTGGGGTTATACAAAAAGAGGAAACATAGCATTAAACTGAAGGGCAAAATCAGAAAATGCAACCAAAGGGAAGAGGGTGGATAATGAATAGGAAATTTAGAAAAGGGACATATTTATTTTTAATTAGGAAATTCAAAATTATAAGCCAGTTTAAATCAACTCACATTTATTTAAATTGGCATATGGTGCCGCAGCCTTGCAAGCTACCCTCAGGTTCTTCCAACTCCTCTAAGTAAAGAGGAAAAGCATTTGACCCCCACATCTAGGCCAGAGTGAATGAAGAGGGCCCTGGGGGAGCTCTGACCCCCATCCTCTGCAGTCCCTTGAAATAGGGTGGGTAAAGCCCTAAGCCCGAGGTGGGTACAAGGTGAGACTCAGTAAGTGGCAGCTCTGTGAGGAGATTGTCAGTGCCAGAAGCAATAGTAGTGCTCAGGGAACTTTATTATTCTAAGGTGGAGATGTGGTATTCTACCAGAGTCCCCACCTCGTTTCCGTTGCTGACTTCTGCATCTGGTGCCACTCATCTTAGGGGTGTATATATGGTGAGTAACACTCAGCGGTGATGGTGTATAGGGAGCTGGCGCATCCCTCAGCTCCCCTCTGGTTCCCGTAGTGTGCAAGCCACTGCCTTCTTAGTTGTAGGGAAATGTTGTATCTATCAATAAAACAGGAGCTGAAGGTTGGGCCCAGTGGCTCATGCCTGTAATCCCAGCACTTTCGGAGGGCAAGGTGGGAGGATCACTTGAGGCTAGGAGTTCAAGACCAGCCTGGGCAACATAGCGAGACCCTGTCCCTACAAAAAAATAAATTAATAAGCAGTGAAATAAAACAGGAGCTGAGAGAGAATATTATCTGTGTAGTACTCAATGGCCTGGTTCAAGTTCCAGCCCTGCCATCCTGCTAACCTGCCTACTTTGATACGTTACTGAATCTCTCAGTGCCATGTTTCCTCATCTGAAAAATGGCAGAAGTAGGATTGTTAGGATTGAAGTGAGAATGACCAATAGGCACAGTGCCTGCCATGTAGGATGCTCACCAAGAGGCGTGTAGAGTTGTTTTTGTTGTCATTATCAGTGACCATGGGGACTCAGAGGCTGCAGTTATGCACAGAAAGAAAGGCCAGTTTCCCGAAATGTAAAAGCATCACATTATTCATCATTGCTGGATGAGTAGAGGGAAATATAGCTGGACAGATGTGTGATCGAGCAGTCACAGTTTGTGGCCCCTGTAGAAGCTAGGTAGCGGGAATATGGGTGTTCACTCTGTAATTCTTTAAGCTGTTCTATATGTTAGTTGATGTTCACAATGAAACAGAGGGATGAAGGAATTCCACCTAGCAATGGGTCTTCAGAGCTGAAAAATCTATTTTGATACCAGTTACCTGAGTTCGGTAGGAATAAAAGAAGCCCAGCAGAAGCCTATGTGGTTCTCCGGGACAGGAGTCATTCACTTAACTGAGAAATGTGTGTGTGTGTGTGTGTATGTGTGTGTGTGTGTGTATGTGTGTATGCACGTGCATGTCTGTGCATGTACGTGTCTGTTTGTGTGCGTGTGTGTGTGTGAATGACAGTGTGTTAGTGGCAGGCATAGAAAAGTGGGATTAGGAGAAGGGAGGGACTCGGTGAGTAAGTACCCTTAATTTTTTTTTTTCTGTGCCTCACCTCATTCCAAAAGGAATTTGTGGTAACTTGCAGAAATACCTTGATTTTAACAAGATAAAAATAAATGGAGGCTATAAATGAGCAATCATTTATGTTCATACTGCATGTCATGTCATAATCTTCTGAACACAAACTTTGAAAGAAGTGAGTGCAAATGTGGCCGTGACACTAAGAGCCCATAGAATCCCAGGTTCCAATTTCACTTGGTCACTGATTTTCCTGGATACCCAAGACAGTTGGGCCTCCCCCTTTCATTGATGATTTTAATATTCCAAATGCTTACGAAGAATAACCCAGAAAAATAATCCAGGTAGTGGACTTGGAGTAGCTGGCACTGCCTGGCTACATGACAGAGGCACCCCTCATGTCCTCGACTGCACCATCTTGCGTGCAGCCATTGGGTCCTCCTGCACTCCCCTGTGTGTGATCTTCCCCCTGTTCTTCCCTATCCTTCCTCCAACCCTTTTTCCCCAGGCGGCGTTCCACAGAATTTTTCTTTTAAAGCGCAAATGCAGCCATTTCAGTTAGAGAACTTTGCTATTTGGGCAAGATTCCTGAGCATTCGGGGCTCCATGGGCCTGTCTTTAGAAATGTGTGTCTAAAAAGAGCACTCTTTAGAAAGGACAGTTGTTGATTAGGATGCCGGCTGTATTTCTTGTCCTCAGCAGGTAATGTGCTGTTTGAAAAATGTTAAAAGCACTAACTCCTATTCTTACCTTTATTTTTTCCCTTTTCTCTCTTTCTTTCAAAATTACCTGTTCATAGTATATATTCTTCCAACTTCCATGCAGTGAAGAGGGAATCAGATGGGGCTCCTGGGGATCTCACTAGCTTGGAGAATGAGAGACAAATTTATAAAAGTGTCTTGGAAGGTGGCGACATCCCTCTTCAGGGCCTGAGTGGGCTCAAGCGACCATCCAGCTCGGCTTCCACTAAAGGTAATTAACTGGGTGAAGCCTGCAAGGCCTCCATCTCCCATCCACCTCCATTCACTGAGCGTCGGCCGTGGTGAACCTCCAGCAATGGGGATTAGTCGTGCCTTGTTCAGACCCACATCCAGGCCTCAGAGCCCTCTTAAATTCCCTCCCCTATTTTCTTACCGGCCATTTTTCTTTCTGGTTTTAATAGTTTCTGTTCCTTTGACACCCCCAACCTTGCTCTCCTTGAAGATTTCTCTCTCTCTCTTTCTCTCTCTCATTCTAATTACCTTTTCTTAGAAATTAGCTGAGCTTTAGCCATTCCTAACTCTAGCAGGGTAGGCATTTTTTGTTGTTGCATCCTTGCACCTGCTTTGCAGCACAGATTATTTTGCTTCCGGACATCGACTGGAAATTTTTTAAAAGCCCTTATGACAAATGAGCATGTTACCTTTCCTTTTTCTTTTTAGCAGCTTTCAGCTTTAACCTAATGGGTCTATTTATTTTATTCTGCATGCTTACCAGTGGATCGTAAAGGTGGGAATGCTCACATGATTTCTTCATCTTCAGTCCATAGCCGAACGTTTAACACTAGCAGTGCGTTAGGCCCTGTGTGTAAGCACAAGAAGCCCCTGTCAGCTGCGAAAGCCTGCATTTCGGAAATCCTTCCTTCCAAATTCAAACCCAGGCTCTCGGCTCCCAGCACTCTTTTGCAGGAACAAAAGAGTATCCTCTTGCCCTCAGAGAAGGCTCAAAGCTGTGAGAACCTTTGTGTTTCCGGTTCTTTGAATGATTCCAAAAGAGGCCTCCCGCTCCAAGTGGGAGGGAGCATTGAGAACCTGCTCATGCGCTCCCGACGGGATTATGACAGCAAGTCGAGCAGTACCATGAGCCTCCAGGAGTACAGCACCAGTGGCAGGAGGCCCTGCCCTCTCTCAAGAAAGGCTGGGATGCAGTTCACGATGCTTTATCGGGACATGCACCAGATCAACCGAGCTGGCCTCTTCCTGGGCTCCATCTCCTCCTCCTCGAGTGTGCGGGATCTTGCCTCCCACTTTGAAAAGAGTAGCCTGGCATTGTCCAGGGGTGAGCTGGGCCCCAGCCAGGAGGGCTCGGAACACATCCCCAAGCACACCGTCTCTTCCCGCATCACCGCTTTTGAGCAGCTGATTCAGCGGTCCCGTTCCATGCCATCCCTGGACCTGTCCGGCAGGCTGAGCAAGTCTCCCACACCTGTGCTGTCCCGGGGCAACCTGACCTCAGCCCGCTCGGCCGAGTCCCTCCTTGAGTCAACCAAGCTCCGTCCCAAGGAGATGGATGGGATGAACTCCAGTGGGGTCTATGCCTCCCCAACATGTAGCAATATGGCGCACCATGCCTTGAGCTTCAGGGGCCTTGTGCCTTCTGAGCCCCTCTCCACCTGCTCTGATGACCTGGACCGCTGTTCAAATATCTCCACTGACAGCAGAGAAGGCAGTAGCAGCAGCGTTCACGGAGATTTCCCCAAACATCGCCTCAACAAGTGCAAGGGCACCTGCCCGGCCTCATACACTCGCTTCACCACCATCCGGAAGCATGAGCAGCAGCAGACCTCTAGACAGCCCGAGTGGCGCCTGGATTCCAGAGGGGACAAGAGCACCCTCCTCAGGAACATCTACCTAATGAGCCCCCTTCCTTTCCGGCTGAAAAAGCCCCTCCACCACCACCCCAGACAACCTTCTCCTGGTGACTCCTCAGGCCTCCTGGTAGGCCAGAAGCCAGACCTCCCCAGTCAGCCCCATCAGGACCGGCCCCCTTCTGGGGGGAAGCCCGTGGTTCCCACACGCCTGTCTTCCCGACACACCATGGCCAGGCTTAGCCGCATCTCAGAGCCCTCTCAGGAGAGACCCACGGCCCTGGAGGACTACCCAAGGGCCATTAATAATGGAAACTCCGTGCCATACTCAGACCACAGCCTGGACAGGAACAACAACCCACAAAGTGAACTGGCACCATCCCGCGGAGGTGGCATTTTGTGTGTTTGCCTAGTCTCACCTGCCCGTCCCTCCACTTTGCTTGCATTATCCCTTCCTCCTCTGTGCCCTTGGTGCTCATTTTCTGGTCTGTCCTTTGTTTTCTGTTTGTTTTGCTTGGCAATTAATCATGGCTCATAGTGGCTGCACTTCTTTAAAAACAAAGCCCCCATGTCATTTAGACTAACCACCAAACTGTGTTTCGAAAGAAAAATTGGCCGTTTAGCTCAACTGAGAAATGTGTTCATTTGAACTCTTGAACCCCTTGCTGTTTGTACCAATCCCCAACATATCCCGTGGTTTTTTGAGAGGCAGCCTCTCTCAATGGCCCTATATGTGTGTGAGTGTGTGCCTTGTCCCTATAAGGTCCTGCACGCCTCTTTGTTAGGGAAACTTTACAAAGAAAGTTCTCTCATTTTGCTCACCTTTTGCCTTCTGAGTAGTTTTCTTTGCATTAAAGTAGTTGACAAATAAATCCAAAAAATGGGGCAGGGGGTGGAATTTTTTTTTTCCTTCAGAATTCGACCATTGATCATTGATCAAGAATGACTTTAAAATTTTGATATTTATAATAGATGAAAGGTGAACTATTTTCCCAAGCTGGTTTCCAGCGAAATCTTTGCCTGTTTTAACTCTACTTTATTGTTTTAAAGATTCAGAATCGCCAAGACATTTTATACCAGCTGATTACTTGGAATCCACAGAAGAATTTATTCGAAGACGTCATGATGATAAAGAGGTAAATCCCATCTTTTAAATCTCTTAGCTTTTGCTTGGAAAAATGTATGAAGAAAATAAAGATTCTAGACATCTGTCAGAGAGGTGACATGGTCTAGCAATTGGAGACAAAAATTGAGGCTTTCACAAGTGATTTTTTTTATATGACATAGGCTCAATGTCATATAAAAAAAATCACTTGTGAAAGCCTCAATTTTTGTCAACTTATTATTTTTTTTTTTGGTCGACTTTTCCAAAAAGTAGGACTGATTTCCCCACAGGCACTAGGTTATAAATGCCAAGTCCAGCCAGCACTGCTGCATGGGAGATACAGAAAGAGATTGTCCACTGCTGTACTTAATGCCCTGTAAGCTGGAAACCAGAGTTCGCTCTTTCATCCCCCCTCAACCCCACGCTTGATAATCCCTAAGGAAATCCGCCTGCATATTTCTCCAATACTGCCCACCCCTCTGTTGGCACAAAGCATTGTTCAAATTGAGAAGGGTGCAATAGGAGAAAGGAAAATGAAAAATAGTAATGACCTTGATACATTTTATAAAACAATTTGAGGAAGTTGCCTATAACTCTGTTGCCTTCAATTCAGAAGAAGGCAGATACACCAAGAAATGCTGGAAAACCCCAGCCAAGAACTTCAAAATGTGGATATTTTCTGGTAGCTACTGAAATGCCTGTCCTGCCATGGGGTGACTGGCAGGGCCTGGGAAAGAGCCCCTTTTCTCGGGGATTTGGGAAGAGGTAATTCTTTGTATCAGTCAAATGGGCAAAATCACAAGCTTCTGCTGGGATAAAGCATTGTGATGATACATGCTTTCTGGGCCTCACATCCCCAAGAAAAAGAGTCCTAGAGATTAAACAAGCTCCCGAGCCCATATTCCTGAAATGAATTAAGAGATGGAAAAATCACATTGACCTGGTAGGAGTCGGGGAGGGAGTGCATGTGTACACAACTCTGTCCCATTCACGTTCAAGTCTGAAGCCCTTTTTCTCTGTTGTTATGCCTTGTTGAGTAGTTCCAGAGTTTAGGTGGGGTTTCCTGAAGGATTTAGGATAAGGCTGACTTGGGGACCAGTGGGATGATGATAATTATTGCCACCAGATGGTGAAACAAAAGACAAAAATAAAAGCACCATGGCCAGGCGCGGTGGCTCATGCCTGTAATCCCAGCACTTTGGGAGGCCAAGGCAGGTGGATCACTTGGGCAGGAGTTTGAGACCATCCTGGCTAAAATGGTGAAACCCCATCTCCACTAAAAAAATACAAAAAAATTAGCCGGGCGTGGTGGCGGGCGCCTGTAATCCTAGCTACTCAGGAGGCTGAGGCAGGAGAATCGCTTGAATCCGGGAGGCACAGGTTGCAGTGAGCTGAGATCGCACCACTGGGCACCAGCCCAGGCGACAGTGCGAGACTCTGTCTCAACAAAAAAAAAAAAGAAAGAAAGAAAGTTAAACCGCTGTACCTCTCCCCATCTCCGGGCACAATTGAACAGTATTCAATAAGAAACTTGCACCTGTCCATGGAAAGAAACAAGATAAAGCATCTGATGTACAGTTATTATTGTAATAACTCACTAATGATGAGTATCCATCAGGCCATAGAGCAGATTCATTTCTATAGCTCTTTGTTAAATATTTCCTGCCACAAGATACAAGATTCCCATGTATGTAGGCCGGGGCTGCTATGATGAAGGAAGATGAAATTCCATGTTAGTAATATAAGCCCTAGTCTCTGACCTAGAAGGTTCTATGGGACAATTCTTGCCTACCACATGGGAGGTGTAGTTTATCTAGTGGCTTAGCAATGGATATATTAGAACTTACATAAGAAGGCGAGCAGTTGTCTCCTGAATAACACTGGCTCATAGATCCTTAAAAGTTTTGTGTCTTTATCCATGGTTTTTGGCTTATCTGGTTAAACTACAGTGCTGAGGGACTTACTAAGGTCAGATTAAAGTACTGGATTGGGAGCTTTGCCCCATTTGATGTCCACTTCCACTGATTATGTTTAACTCCAGCCAGAACACAAGGGGCCGTGAGTAAGAACTGTGGCAGTCTCAAGCATCACTCCATTCCCATGGCTACAGAAGCAGCTCACACTTCCCAGCTCGCGGGATGTCAGTCAGGCCCTCCCCATTGCAAATGCTTTATCATTAACATGGATTTTCAGAAAATGAGAACATATCAGACTTGGCAGGAACATTAGTGGTCATGTAGCCAAGCCCCTGGTTTAGTCCAGGAAAGGACCACAGCAAGGTAGTAGCTTGCCCAGGGCTGCATAGTAAGTTAACCTATACCAATAGCAGAGCTAGAAACCAGGGCTCCAGATGCCTGGACCAGCACTCTTTCTATAGCACTGGGCTTCTCAGAGGACTTTCTCATGTCTTTTCTCATTTATCTTTACAACTTACTTGAGTACTGGAAATCCCACAGCCATTTGATGAGTTGTCACTTTGTTATTTGTAGTCTCTGGAGAATCGGCCCACCCTCCTTTGGGGTTGCATGTCACATGAGGCATTTAATTGCCTGCTGGAAGAAGCCTACTGTTTTCCAATGCTAAGAATCAGTTCTAATTCATGCTTTCCTATAAGGAAAGTTAATCCCAGGAAATTAAGATTGTCTAGTATCAGAAAACACATTTAAAATTCTGTTCCATGGGGTCATTTTAATAGGGCATTTGGTAAAAAGCAACATTGTTTGATTTTTCAGAGAAGCCTTTAAAAATAGAAATAGATGACTTTTTCCTTACTCTAAGAGAGAATATTTCTTCTAATCTCAGGTACCATTATTCTTAGGGTTTTTTTTTTTTTAATATTTATATTCTTTGTCATTCCCTTTAACTCAGCTTCATTTCACCCAGTGAAGAAATCATTCAGTAAGAAAGCAACTGATGCTCTCTGTCAGCCACATAATTAGCCTGTGGTGTATATCCTAAGGCCTTCTAAAAATTGTGCCTAGGGGAAGACTTGGCTGTCTAGAAGGGGCTTCATCTTTTCTAAAATGGGCTGCTCCACTCTGTCAAGAGCATATTAGAGTAATAGATACAGGAATCACAAAAACGACCTGGTGCCATAGACTTCACTAGCAAAAGCCTGTAGCAGATTTAATAGGCCTGAGATGGGCAGCAGGAATTGGCCAGCCCTGGTCCTGCCAGGGGAATATGCTGTGGGAATATATCCTTGCCTAAAAACACGGTAGAGATGGCACTTCCAGCCTCCCGCTGCCAGCCCAGCATGGTTGGAGATGCCCTGGATGGGAATGCCCCTGGCTCACCTGGCCTTTTGCTGCCAGGAGCAGGAGGCTTTGGACTGCGCTGGGGGTAGGTAGTTTGCTGGACAGTGTAATCATGTGGAATCATCCTTCCCCTATCCCGGCTTTCCCAGTGAAGTGCCGCCTCCTTTCTATAGTGCTCGGAGGGTGGTTACGATGGGAGTGTAGTAGCTGTGGCTCTAAGGCCCTTGTGACAGCTGACCCTTAAAGCCTCTGCCCCATTCACCCAGCACCTCCTTCCCTAATTACTTTTGTTGGCAGTTTTCTAATATGCTGGAACAGATGATTCACTGCCCATTTTATGCAATTTTATGGCAGAAACTTTTAGCGGACCAGAGACGACTTAAGCGCGAGCAAGAAGAAGCTGATATTGCAGCTCGACGCCACACAGGCGTCATTCCGACGCACCATCAGTTTATCACTAATGAGCGCTTTGGGGACCTCCTCAATATAGACGATACCGCCAAAAGGAAATCTGGGTCAGAGGTCTGTTCTGGTCACCTCAATCTGCTGCTTGACCCAAAGCAATATTTGCCTATTTGCCTCCCCTCAGCATTGCCCTCTGTAGGCCAATTTAGTTCTCCAAACAGCATTTGTCATCCTGGCCTCCCTTAGGCTTGCTTTGGCTTCTTGTGGCTGGTAAATAGACATGACCTCATTATGTCCTGTGCTCTGTATGTTCAAGCATGCCTGGCTGGGGGACCGGGGTCTGCTGGCACATGCCCCTGTTGCATGCCTTAGAGCATTGGCTGCCTTCGTGAGTCCAGCCCTCCACATCCTGCATTTTATCATGCTACTGTGTTGCCTGTGCGTTCTGCTTAGAAACCTGATACCTGAGTCCATATGCATTGGTAGCTATGGTGTGGACAGTTACACAATTCTTCTTTGAAGAGATGGTTAATGAAACTTTACAAAAGTTAGCTTAACAATACTTTGTACCATTTACGAAGGCCTCCAAATTTAGTGCCATTAATTTTGAAATAGAGAACAATGCTGCTGCTCACGTGTAGGTGGATGAACTGTGTGAAGTGTTCAGTAGTGCTGCAGTAGTGCGCCTCACTGAAGAATTTGGAAGCCCAAAGACTTTCGCAGTTAGGATAAACCCACAGAGAGTAAGAGAGTTCTCCAAGGGATGTTTCATTTGTTCTTTTAGTTTTGACATTTCCAAGCCTAGGTTATGAAAGCTTAATATTATAAAAGGAAAGAGAAGAACAAACTTTGAAGTGATTTTTATCCAGATCTTGGCCTCCTACACTAAGGTCAACATGTTGAAATTCTCATGCTAGCCAAATGCTGGATCTTGCGTAAGAGTTTATGCTTTGCCATGTAACCCTTAAGTAGCCCCACTGAAGATGATCTCTTTTAGGGAAAATGGGCGTATCTGGGATTTGGGGTGGGAGCTAGGGAAATGGGGGAATAACACCCAAAGTATGTACTGTTTTATATCCTTTCAATACAGTAGCTTAATATTTATGTTTATTTATTTTTTTTTTAATTTTTATTTTTCTCTCTAGAAGCATCATTGCCTAGTCATCTTTTTTTTTTTTTTTTTTAGAAATATGACTGGGCATAGTGGCTTACACCTGTAATCCCAGTACTTTGGGAAGTCAGGGTGGGAGAATTGCTTGAGCCCAGGAGTTCGAGACCAGCTTGGGCAACATAGTGAGACCTCCATCTCTAATTAATTAAGTAGGTAGATAGATTGGTAGATAGCCAGATGTGATGGCACGTGTCTGTAGTCCAAACTACTGGGGAGGCTGAGGCAAGAGGGTTGCTTGAGCCTGGGAGGTCAAGGCAGTGAGTCACGGTCATGCCACTGCACTCCAGCCTGAGCAACGGAGCAAGACCCTGTCTCAAAAAAAAAAAAAAAAAAAAAGTGTCTGGGAAGAAGAGATAGTGAAAAGAGGGAACCAAATTAAAAGAAAGAAGGCTGGCTGGGTTTAGTGGCTCAAGTCTATAGTCCCAGCACTATAAGAAGCTGAGCCAGGGTGATCACTCATGGCCAGGAGTTCGAAACTAGCCTACACATCATAGGGAGACCTCATCTTTACAGTTAAAAATATGTCTGTGTATATATAATATACATATTATAATATATATAATATTATATTTTATGTATATATAAAATATATAGAAAAATTAGCCAGGCTTGGTGGTGCATGCCTGTAGTCATAGCCACTTGGGAGGCTGAGGTGGGAGGATCACTTGACCCCAAAAGTTCAAGACTGCAATGAGCTATGAACACATCCCTCCAACCTAGGTGGCAGAGTAAGATCCTGTCTCAAATTAAAAGAAATTTGAGCCTGTCTCAAATTAAAAGAAAAAGGAAAGCTGGGGAAGAGAAGGAGACTCTAAAGTGATGGAGAAAAAGAAAATCTATCAAGGAAGAAGCAAAAGTTAGCAAGTGTTAATTGCAAGGGAAAGATAGCCCTTGAGTCCTCAACGTTCCAGCTCCTCCTCAAAATGGCCCTTCTCAGAAGGCTCTGAGCATGGTTTGTCCTCACCGATAGTCCTGCCTGCTTGTAGGTAGAAGAAGATGGGAACAGGTAAAGGCGCTAGGGCTGCACACTTACACATGTACTTGATACATGCAAACAGAAATGCACCATGGGTGGAATAACCGTGGACAGAGGCAGGCAAACTCTGCTCAGTGAGCCTGCCTCCCTTCTACAGCAAACTCTGACAAGTGCGTTAGCATCCCCCGGAGGGCTTGGTAAAATACAAACCCTGGATCCTATCTGCAAAGTTTCTGATTCTGCGGTGGGGCCTGAAAATTTACATTTTTAACAGTTTCCCAGGTGATATTGGTGATACCAGTTTAGAGACCACATTTTGAGAATTACTGCCCTAGAAGTTGACTGATGGACTTGAAAAAGTAGAGACCAACACATCCCAGGTGCACCACACTGTGTCAAGGCACTTCAGTCCCATTCAGTAGGACTGGGGTGACCACTGGTTCTGTGTAAGACCCTATGGGAGGCAGAAAGAACTCTGTCTGTGTGCCCTTGGGGAGCTGATAGTGGAAGAGTCTCCCTCTTACACAGTTATCTCTGTCCTATAGTAAGTAATACAATACTGTGAAAGCCAGAGGAGGGAAAGATGGATTCAGTCTTGGAGCTACAGGGAGATAAAGAGGGAGAGGATGCTGCTTTGTATAACTACCAGTGACTCACATACACGTGTCAAGAGTTTAATGGAATCAGTGAATTTTAACAGGCCTTCAGTGAAAAAAATCTCACCACCCCCCATTATTAACCTAAGTCCACTTACAAATTAATCATAAGCTACAAATCTATATAATTATATTGATTTAATTGATAGGAGATACTGTTTTGACAGAACTCAGTTACCAGAGTGTGAATGTGGTGCTGCTTTGGTATAAATTTTTTAAAGTTCACACAGCTCTACAGCTGGGTGACATGAGGTAACCTACTTCCTTGTGTTTTTCTATTGGAATCACTGTAAAATTCGTATCCTTATAATTTTGGTCATTTAGTTTTCTCTTGTAAACTTGTCATTTATCATTAACCCCACATCCGTTCTTTTCTTGTTCACCTGCAACTGTGAAATTATGCCCTTTGGTTACAGACACAAACACAGGTATTGAAATTGTGTGACTTTAACTTGATTATAAGGTGATCATTCGCGTGGCCCCAGTATGTATGGTATAGATAGGTAGATAGATGGAAACATCAATGTGAAAATGCAAACTTTAAAAATACCTGCGGAAGGCTAGGCACAGTGGCTCACACCTGTAATCCCAGCACTTTGGGAGGCCAAGGCAGGAGAACTGCTTGAACCCAGGAATCTGAGACCAGCTTGGGCAACATCGTGGACCCTATCTGTACAAAAATTACCCAGGCTTGGTGGTGCGTGCCTGTAGTCCAGGCTACTCAGGAGGCTGAGGTGGTAGGATCATCTGAGCCTGGGGAGTCAAGACTGCAGTGAGCCATGATTGTGCCACTGCACTCCAGCCTGGGCAACACGGCAAGATGCTGTCTCAAAAAAAAGAAAGAAATTCCACAGCCAGGCGTAGTGGCTCACGCCTGTAATCCCAGTACTTTGGGAGGCCAAAGTGGGCGGATCACTTGAGGCCAGGAGTTAGAGACCTCCCTGGCCAACATGGTAAAACCCAGTCTCTACTGAGAAATACAAAAGTTAGCCAGACATGGTGGCACATGCTTGTAGTCCCAGCTGCTCAGGAGGCTGAGGCAGAAGAATTGCTTGAACCTGGGAGGCAGAGGTTGCTGAGACCGTGCCACTGTACTCCAGCCTGGGAGACAGAGCAAGACCCTGTCTCAAAAAAAAGAAAAAAAAGAAAAGAAAAAAGAAATTTCAGAGAGAGGAGGGGATAGGAGGGGGTTCAGTTGAGGTGTAGCAAATAGATTTGACTGGAACAGGAACAGTGTAGTAGAGATAAAGGCAATTCGGTTAAGAGTAGGGAGAAACTACCCAGAGGCCTTCACCTATGGCAGGAATTGAGATTTGAACTGAGGGAAAGTTGAGAGCAGCAGCCAACTTCAAAGCAAGGAAGAGATGTGAGGAAGAATGTTAGGAATGTTATTTGTGCTCCCGGGTGACAGATTAGAGTGAAGAGAATGTGAAATCAAAGGAAGCTTTGTGTCAATGGAAACTAGGCGTCAGCTTTGAGCAACAGGGTTGCGGAGGGATGGAGGTGTGGAGGGAGGTCCCTCCTGACTTAATGACACACTTGATCAGGAAGTGGAGAAGGGGCGGAGGCTGACTCGGACCTGGGCATCTGGGAAGAGAGGACTACCCAACAGGATTGGAAGTCTTGGCAGGAGTCATTTGAGCTCAGGGACCACTTTATCTGGCTTTTTGGATGAGGTCACAGACCGTAAGAAATATATGGAGTTGGAGATGATGTGAGAAGTGAGTCGGCGTTTCATCTACTTGCATATCATAATTTAAGCAAATAAATGTCCCTAAGGAATAAGACAGTAGATAAGGAACATCTTAGGACTTCTGGCTGACTTTGTCTTTTTTTTGTTTGTTTTTTTAATAGCCATGGTCTGCATGTTTTGAGGAACTGGTACCTCAGCTTTGGAACCTTTCTAACCATCTCTTCCCCAGATCTGGTTGTTTTTAGGGGATTCTCATGCATGACATACATAGTTAACTAAACATTTATCTAGTATTCTACTAAGGTCAGACAAATGCAATTTTGCCCAGATTTCTACACTAGAACAAACTGGCTAGAGTGAATTTCTCTGCTTTGCTTTCTAGAAATTTGTGAAAATGTGTCCTTGTTGTACCTGAATCCTGATTTTAACTTGTCATTGTTTCTTATGTTCAGATGAGACCTGCCAGAGCCAAATTTGACTTTAAAGCTCAGACACTAAAGTAAGTGCTACCAGTTATATTTATTTATCTTTTTAGCTGTTTCTTTGAAACACAACAGTTTGTTTGTAGAGAAGAGTTGGAGAAATAACAATTATCAAAATTGTTGTTAAAAAAAAAAAAGAACAAAACAGTAGTTCATAGAGTTTGCTATGTGCCAAACACTATTCAGAGTACTTTGCATATGTTAACTCATTATGGAGTGGGTGCTGTGATGATCCCCACTGTTCAAATGAAAAGGCCAAGGGACTATAAGGTTAAGGAACCTGCTCAAGCTGGTGTGAGAGAGTTGGAATTCAAACCTAGGCAGAGGTTGGGCTCTTATACCCTGTCCCACCCTGCCTCCTCCTATGTAGGGGCTCTATTTGCTTAAGTGGTGGCTTGATCTGACCCATCTTTTCTGTGGAAGGATCTAGACCAGTCTCTAGGGAGATAACTTTACCCATTTTGCTACAACATCCCAAGAGATTAAAGGCTTACATGAACCCACCAGAGACTAGCGTTTCTCTAAGTGTGTTCCTCAGAGTGCTAGCCCTGTAAGATTTTTCTCAAAAAGGGAGTTCTGTTGTAGAATGAGTTGGGAAACAGTGCATGCTATATCTATACCTCCCACCCACTTTGAAGAAATACTTTGTTGATGGCATGTTAATAGCTCCAGAAGTCTTTCAAGAAAAGAACCTGAAACACGATTTGGGAAATGCTACCAAAGACTGGGTTCCATAAGGAAACAGCTGGCTTTTTATCTAATTATGGATTTAAATAGTCCATGAGTTCTCATTGGCAGCTAAAAGTACAATGGACAGTGGCCACCCCATTGTCCTGCAGATGGACGGTCATGCATCTGGTGATCAGAGGGAGAGCTCCCTGTCCTTAGATGCTGGGAAATGCTATGTGGAGCTAACCAACCATGGTTCTGATCTCCTCTATCCCACAAAATGAGTGACCAGGCCACAGTGTCTAGAACCTAGGCACAAATCTGGTATAGTTGGGTTTGTGTGTATTACTCCAGTCCTTTAGTTGGTCAGCTAAAGGAGGTGGCTGCGTACCATACTGCAAAGATTGCGAGCTTTAGAGTCAGGAAGTCCTGTGTTCAAATCCTGACTATGCCACTTACTATCTCTGTGAGTGTAGTCAAGTTATCAACTTCTCCCCCACTCAATTTTCTTTATCTGCAAGATACGGGTAAAAATGCCTCTCTTTCAGGGAAGCTGGGGTAATACCTGTAAAACATTTTGCGTAGTGTACCAAAATTTAGTGCTCAAAATATGTTATCCTCTTACCCCCCTTTTTTTAAACCAGACAAGATAACAGAGATATATAAATTAATTTGCAATTTAATTAATATACTTTTTCTTTGAATTGAGAAAGGTCTATGTAAGATTTATTAAATGGTCTAGTGATGATAATAGTACATTTTCCCAGATTTCATAAAGAGTCTTAAAACAACTTTTTTTTAGAGCAACCCCGTCAAATAGAACAGGTGAGAAAGCTTAGATCCACAGAAATTGTCACCTTTTATCAACATTGCTAATGCCGGAGAGAGGTTTCCTTCCTTCTGATTCCGTGTTTTCATCACGACATGCTGCCTCCAAAAAAAGTCCACAAAATTTAGTGAAAAAAGTAAATTCTAGCTCCATGGTCTTTTAAGCCCTTCAGTCACTTGGTTTTACATTTCCCCACAGTCAGTTACTCAAAAAAGCATGCTGCCGGGGCCAGGCGTAGTGGCTCATGCCTGTAATCCCAGCACTTTGGAAGGCCGAGGCTGGCAGATCACTTGAGGTCAGGAATTCAAGACCAGCCTGACCAACATGACAAAACCCTGTCTCTACCAAAAAATACAAAAATTAGTCGGGGCGTGGTGGCAAGTGCCTGTAATTCCAGCTACTCAAGAGTCTAAGGCATGAGAATTGCTTGAACCCAGGAGGTGGAGGTTGCGGTAAGCTAAGATCACGCCACTACATTCCAGCCTGGGGAACAGAGTAAGACTCCGTCTAAAAAATTTTAACAAATAAAAAAAATAAAAAGCATGTTATGGAATACTTGGTTCAACAAAGTTAAACAAGTTTCTTTCCCCTGGGTCTTCTCAGAGCCTCTGCTGTGCTGATGTACACTGTGATGCTCAAAAAAAGATCTAAAGCGAATCATATTTCTCAAACCCTCTCACCAGCAGACCTGGTCGCATGGTTCTTTGGGAGCTAGGAGTATAGTCCACAGTAGTGGCAGAATAGGGCCCCAGGTTTCCCATGGTAGACTTCCATCAGCCACAACTACTGACCCCTCAGTTCCTCTCTCACACACAAGTGTATCCTTTGCTTAACAGTAGGACCATTACGCTCCCGCCCCCCTCCACAGCTGCAAGATACTTAGTATAGTAGAGTCAGGAGCCTGCAGGTCTCCACAGCAGTGAATATGCTGAGGGTCTTGCTCATCTATGTGCCTGTGGTTGGGGGTAAAGGAAGAGGGAATTCATAATGCCCCCCAAAGAGGGCTGTGGCAAAAATGTGGCCCGAGACATTCCTTCTCACAGAGACAAATGCCCACATCCCCTTTACAGACCTCTTGAGGGTTAGAATCCTGTCTGCTAATGTGAGACCCACAAAGGCTGCCTTGTGCTTTTATTCAGCACAGAATTGACTTTCTATAGTTTTCCAGATGTGCCCTCATTGTTTGGCCAGCACCCCTCACATACCGTGGGACTTCCTGGCATCCTGCAAAGTGAGCACACCCCTTCCAAGTTACAATTGGAGACTTTTCCATCCTATTGGTTTGACACAAATGAAAAAGATCTAGGTCATTTTTTTTTAATTCAAGAAAATGTTACAATTTTAAAATTATTTAATTCAAGAAAAAGTTGTAAGGGCCAGGCGCAGTAGCTCACACCTGTAATCCCAGCACTTTGGGAGGCCGAGGCGGGCGGATCACCTCAGGTTGGGAGTTCGAGACCAGCCTGACCAACTTGGAGAAACCCCATCTCTACTAAAAATACAAAATTAACTGGGCCTCGTGGCCCATGTCTGTAATCCCAGCTACTGGGGAGGCTGAGGCAGAAGAATAGCTTGAACCCGGGAGGCAGAGGTTGCCGTGAGCTGAGATCACACCATTGCACTCCAGCCTGGGCAACAAGAGCAAAATTCTTGTCTCAAAAAAAAAAAAAAAAAGAAAACGTTCTAATTTTTATCCTTAAGTTTTCATTTTGTTTAAAATTTGCCTTTGTCTAACTTTTTTAAAAAAAGAGTCCTGGTTAAAAATTAACATCATCTGGGCCAGGCGCGGTGGCTCACGCCTGTAATCCCAGCACTTTGGGAGGTCAAGGCAAGTGGATCATGAGGTCAGGAGTTCAAGACCAGCCTGACCAACATGGTGAAACCCCGTCTCTACAAAAAAAAAAATTAGCCGGGCATGGTGGTACATGCCTGTAGTCCCAGCTGCTCGGGAAGCTAAGGCAGGAGAATTGCTTGAACCTGGGAGGTGGAGGTTGCAGTGAGCTGAGATTGCACCACTGCACTCCAGCCTGGTGACAGAGTGAGACACTGTCTCAAAAAATAAAAATAATAATAATAATAATAACATCATCATTATTAAGGCAAACAAAAGAATGGATATGGAAAAGTTGCAAAGGGGCACAAAGAGCATTTGAAGGAAAATCTACTTTTCTTTCCAACATCACTTTTCCATGTTAAAAAGCAAAGGAATTAGGCCGGGCGCGGTGACTACATGCCTGTAATCTCAGCATTTTGGGGGAGACTGAGGCAGGAGGATCACTTGAGCCCAGGAGTTCAAGACCAGCCCGGGCAGCATGGCAAAACCCCATCTCTACGAAAATATATATGTAACAATTGGCCAGGCATGGTGGTGCATGCCTGTAGTCCCAGCTACTCAGGAGGCTGAAGTAGGAGGATCACTTGCGCCCAGGAGGTTGAGGCTGCAATGAGCCGTGATCATGCCACTTGCACTCCAGCCTGGGCAGCAGAATGAGACCTTGTCTCATGAAAAAAAGTAATGGAATTAACATTTATTTATTGAGTGTTACCTACCTGTACAACAGGCACCATCCTAGCTGTTTATTTTTAGTTTGTTGAAGCATTCTCCAGCAACTCTGAGTTAGCTCCAAGTTCAGCTAAAGAAACAGTGTCTCAGATTAAGTATTGTGTCCCTGGTCCCAGAGCTACTAAATTTCAGAACTGGGTTTTGGACCAGATCTGCCTAACTTCAGAACCTTTCTACTGCATGATGATACAAAGACGGATGGTAAAATGGATGGGTGGACAAATGGTGAAATTGATGGAATGATAGAAGGATGCCAATATATCACAAATAATTTGAGGGCAATTTAAAGCAACGAAAGCATGTCCTGCTAGGGCATAGTAGAGGATAGTGAAGGTATCCAGAAGGAGACGCTTTTCTTCGTTTAATAAACATCAGTTAAGGCAGCTGAGTGCATTGCTGTGTGTTGCATAAATATTCTGAGCATAAGACAACATTCACAAAAAATGCATTTAGAAAACCACAACAAATTAATAAGGCCTCTGAGCACTTTCAAGGGCTAGTCAATTTGAATGTTAACATCCATCCTGCAAAAGACTGGAAAAATGCCAAATGTGATGTAATTTCCTGAATAGTGGGGTTCTTACTTCCAAATATGGAGTCCCCTCTCTGGAATTTGTACCCTTTGACCCCACTTAAAAGTCTTCTTTTGCTACAAAACTGAAGTGTCTTAATCTTACACATACTGAAACATCTGCTAAAATGCCGTTGACCCTCTGTCGACAGGGAGCTTCCTCTGCAGAAGGGAGATATTGTTTACATTTATAAGCAAATTGATCAGAACTGGTATGAAGGAGAACACCACGGCCGGGTGGGAATCTTCCCACGCACCTATATTGAGGTACCGCAGCCCCTTTTCTTTCTAAGGAAAAGCCTGACTGTGCCCAAAGCACCATTTATTTACTAAATGCTTATGTTTTGTTTCCTCCTTTTCCTCTTGTTTCCCTGCTTTCTTCTCTTCCCTTGTTCTCTTTTACCTGTTTCCCTTTCTCAGCTTCTTCCTCCTGCTGAGAAGGCTCAGCCCAAAAAGTTGACACCAGTGCAGGTTTTGGAATATGGAGAAGCTATTGCTAAGTTTAACTTTAATGGTGATACACAGGTAGAAATGTCCTTCAGAAAGGTAAGCTGCCCTTCTCATGCCTTGCTTTGGGGCTCTCTTGGATGGCACAGCTATGTGGGGAAGTGTGGTGTTGCTATCACATCCCAGTCTGGGGGTGCTATCTGTACCCTTAAGAGAAGTATGCTAATCAATAATTGCATTAAGGGCTGGGCACGGTGGCTCACGCCTGTAATCCCAGCACTTTGGGAGGCCGAAGTGGTTAGATCACTTGAGGTCAGTTTGAGACTAGCCTGGCCAACACGGTGAAACCCCGTCTCTACTAAAAATACAAAAATTAGCTGGGCATGGTAGTGGGTTCCTGTAATCCCAGCTACTCAGGAGGCTGAGGCAGGAGAATCGTTTGAACCTGGGAGACAGAGGTTGCAGTGAGCTGAGATTACTCCACTGCTCTCCAACCTGGGCAATAGGGTGAGACTCTATCTCAAAAAAAAAAAAAAAAAAAAAAGAATTGCATTAAGGCTTGTAATCCCAGCACTTTGGGAAACCAAGATAGGAGGCTCACTTAAGGCCAGGGGTTCAAGACCAGCCTGAGCAACATAGCAAGACCCCATCTCTATTGAAGAAAAAAGCTAAAAGAATTGCATTAAGGGCAATTGGAGAATTTTCTGAGGTAAGGTATTTTTAAAATAAACCCTAGGCTAATGTCAGGGTTTAACTGTATTGAGCTCACTGATTAAAGATAGTATTTCTGGAGTCTTAGACATCTTTTATAAGCTGTTTTCAACCAACACTTACCAACTAATGATGTGATAATGCACTGTGTTGGGGACTGGGTTTTACAATATATTGGTGTGATCTAGTGGAAGAAACAGGTGCATTGATACCAGGAGAAGTTTGAAAAGCTTTGAACCCAAAAGGCACAAACCAGCTGTGCAGAATGTGGGAGTTAAATACTTTTTCCAAGCCACCATTTTCTTATAGAAAATAATGAAGATAGATGGCTCTCCCCTAGGTGGTTGTAAGAGACTTAGGTGAAACAGCTTATGTGAAGCCCCCAGCATGACACATGGTATCTGGTTTGTGCTTAGTAAACAGGAGATGCCAGTATCATTATCATCACCGTCATGCTTATTCAGACGCAATTACACTGTGCAGAGAAGTTCTTCTTTCCAGAATCCAAACACTCTACCTGGCAAAATTCTCTGGCTTCCTAAAGTTACTAAGTTACTGATTTTATTGAGGATTGAGGGAAGTGAGCACATGGGTTAGAAAAAGATGAACCATCTTATGTAACACTGGAAGCAACCCAATTTGCCCTACAGCAGGGGATCAGTAATTAAATCATTATATGTGTGTGCAACAGAATACCCTGCAGTGGTCCATTAAGCTGTGCAATGCCATTAAAAATCTAGAATTCTATTTTTTGATAAAGAAGGAGGTTTACTATGTACTATTAAGTATTTTTTAAAAAGCAAGTTGGAAAAGTATGGAAACACAGTTTATACTCAATTTTTATAAGAAAAAATATGTGAGGTTTAATTCACATGCGTAGAAGTAAATCTGGGAAGTCCATATGCCAAATATTAATAGTGTTTATCCCCAAATGACTATGTGATGGGTGAAGATTGTTTTCTGCTTTATGTTTGTGTTCTGATTTTTCTATAATGATACATTATAAGTATTTATAATTCTACAAAAGAAAGAAAAAGAGAAACCCCCCAAAATCTTTGCCTTAGAGATGAAGATTGGATATCTGTTTCACATTAAATGAGTCAAAAACACTATATTTGTTCCCTGGCTTAGGGGCACAAATCTGATGTTCTCCTTTACTAAAATACTTAAAGAACCAAGGTAAACTTCCCAGCATCAAGGTAGCTCCTCTGCCATTAGCATCCTCATCCCAGTGGTGGTAATTCCCTCCGGGTTCAGCAGGGAATGTTTTTGCTGAGCTAAGAATGTGGTAAACAATGCAGGACATTGAAGCATGCAGGCAGAGGCCCCAGGCATGCAGAGGCATGCTAGGACAAGGACCCTGTCTTTGCTGTGTCTTCCAGGGTGAGAGGATAACACTGCTCCGGCAGGTAGATGAGAACTGGTACGAAGGGAGGATCCCGGGGACATCCCGACAAGGCATCTTCCCCATCACCTACGTGGATGTGATCAAGCGGCCACTGGTGAAAAACCCTGTGGATTACATGGACCTGCCTTTCTCCGCCTCCCCAAGTCGCAGTGCCACTGCAAGCCCCCAGGTATCTAAGCTTCTCGTCACTGGTTTTCATACTCAGCGTGTGAGTTTTCTTAGTCAACAGTGCTGTTGGCACACAGCCTCTCTGGGGAGGTTTTTGAGCACTGCAATTAAAAACTGTCTGCAGGAGGCCGGGTGTGGTAGCTCACACCTGTAATCCCAGCACTTTGGGAGGCTGAGGTGGGTGAATCACCTGAGGTCAGGAGTTCGAGATCAGCCTGGCCAACATGGTGAAACCCTGTCTCTACTAAAAATTCAAAAATCAAAAAAAGATGGCAGGCGCCCGTAGTCCCAGCTACTCGGGAGGCTGAGGCAGGAGAATTGCTTGAACCCGGGAGGCAGAGGTTGCAGTGAGCTGAGATCACGCCACTGCACTCTAGCCTGGGCGACAGAGCGAGACTCTGTCTCCAAAAAAAAAAAACAAAAAACAAAAACTGCAGGAAAGCAGACTCTACACTGGACTTTGTCTTCATGCATACAAATGGCCTTTTCCGGTGCTTGGTTGAAGATATATTATCTCAGAGGAAAAGAAAGAGTCAGATAATTGCTCTGGGAATAAGGTGACTAGCAAAAGAGAAACAAGAGCCTTTATCAGTTGGTCCCTCCTGGGTGAAGCTGTTGGTGTGGGGACCACCACTGTGTCATAAATCCCATGGTCCAAATGTGGTCCTCAGTCATCTTGGCCAAAGTTGGCCTGCAGAAGACAAAGGCTGAAAGAGAGACTCACACCTTCTTCTCGTCAGCCACGTAGACCAGGTCCAAAAGTGTTTGCATTCACCGGAACCAGGTGACTGGAACAAGTAACTTATAGCATCTCAGTCTCAGTGGGCTGAAAGGATGTAGATTTATAGGCATGGTAAGATGTTGGCTCTCCCAAACATTAATTATGAATAAACTTGTTTAGAAATATAAACTATTCCAAACTGATCCCCACTTTCCCAAAGCCAAGAAAATGTAAGAACCTTGAGTTCAGGGTGATACGGTGGGGGTGACATCCTGTGAAAAAGTCCAGCCAAACCACCATGTATGTTGTAAGGAGGTTGGCAGAGGAACAAGAGTAGGACCTGGGGGCCCAGGTTGACCCTGAGACAGTGCCTCTTGTCTGGTCCTCTAATTGTTTCCTCCTCTGACACCTGCTCATCACTGACCCCAGTAGAGGGTTCTTGGCAGAAAGCATTAAACAGGCTGACCCAGGGCTTCCTGCACAGTGACAGCCACATCCTGTTGTCTTATAGGACAGGGTGTGTGACTGGGGCGGGACATTCTGCTTTGTAAGGATGCAGAGAACTCGGCTACATTTTTCACTTGACTGTAGCCAAGAGTGATTGTAAAACAAAACTAGTACACTACTCATACTCCTCTCTGGAAGACTCTGCTGAGCTCCCAGAGGAAATAAAACCTCAGGGAAGGGCCATGGCAGTGCGGGGCCACCTTTCCCCATGGTTCCGGGTCAGGGATCTGGATGCACAGGGGCTGGGGGACTGGGATAGGGAGCTTCCAGTGGGTCCCTTTGAAACTCCAATTCTGCAAAGCAGGCCGGCCTCATCCGTCACTACTCTGACGGGAACCTCTCTCCATCTCCACACCTGTGGCTGCTTCCTCCACCCACTGCCTGCACACATCAGGCTCACGTTCGCACATGCTCACACGCACACTCACCCATCCTGGTTTCTCCCCAGATGTAACCCAAGGATTTCCTTTTTGGACACCAGAGTGTCCTTGCTCATCCTCTCCATTTCATTCCTCTTTATATACCCCTTGTGATTATTTTCCTTCTTTTTCCTTTATGCTGACACTTGTACCTTTTGCTTCTTTCTTTTGTTTTCCTCTCTCTTCTTAAGTTTTCCAGTCACAGCAAGCTCATCACGCCAGCACCCTCATCTCTGCCCCACTCCCGCCGAGCCCTGTCCCCTGAGATGCACGCCGTCACCTCTGAGTGGATCTCGCTGACTGTGGGGGTCCCAGGCAGGCGTTCTCTGGCCCTGACCCCACCCTTGCCTCCTCTGCCAGAGGCTTCTGTCTATAACACTGACCACCTCGCCTTGTCACCAAGGGCCGGTCCCTCCCTGTCTCTCAGCCTCCCCCATTTGAGTTGGTCAGATCGTCCCACCCCACGGTCAGTAGCTTCTCCACTGGCCCTACCTTCCCCACACAAAACCTACGCCCTAGCACCCGCTTCCCAGGCCTCCCTTCACATGAATGGAGACGGTGGTGTCCACACGCCATCTTCAGGCATCCACCAAGATAGCTTCTCGCAGCTGCCACTGGGGAGCTCTGATAGTGTCATCTCCCAGCTTAGTGATGCCTTTAGCAGCCAGAGCAAGAGGCAGCCATGGCGCGAAGAGAGTGGACAATATGAGAGGAAAGCAGAGAGGGAGGCAGGCCAGAGAGGCCCTGGCGGACCCGAGATCTCTAAGAAGAGCTGCTTGAAGCCTTCAGACGTGGTCAGGTGCCTGAGTACTGAACACAGACTCTCAGATCTCAACACCCCTGAGGAGAGCCGGCCCGGCAAGCCCCTGGGTAGCGCTTTTCCAGGAAGTGAGGCTGAGCAGACAGAGCGGCATAGAGGTGGCGAGCAGGCGGGGAGGAAAGCTGCTCGGAGAGGTGGGAGCCAGGTAGGACTGCAGCATGCCGCGTGTGCACTTGGCGTCTCACTTGGCAGGGTGGGCTGCACGTCTCGCCCCGGTCCATCTACGGAGGCCAAGTGAATGCTGGTGAGACCATTTGCTTGCCTCGGGAGCAAAGAGATGGCCCCGGAGGGAATGGGGGGACATGAATTCAGGTGCCAGGGCTGGATACAGTTGGAGGGAAAGGACAGGCTGTATCTGACCACTTGAGGTCATTCGGAAGTTATCTCTACTTTGAATGCCTCCTGGCCTGCTGCAAGGGCCTCTGAGAAGGCAGACCTTCCTCACGTCCCACGTATGCCTTGGAGATGACCCTCGGTTTGCTTTGACTAACACAGCTGAGAACACCAGGCTTTGGTGTGGTGGTGTGGTTTGCTTTTATGTAAGATGCACTTTGTTTCCATAACCCATGGTGCTCTGCTAGTGCTCGGTTCTGTCAGGTCTTTGTCCTGTCTCGTGTTTGTGTGGGCGCGCGGGGCCTTTGTTTGCCACGCAACAAAGGTGTTTTGGTTCTGGAGAGGAGAATGCAGGCCTCCTGGGGCCCTGACTGGCATGGGGTATCCTTGAGTAGGCATGCCAGGTTTTTGGGTGAGTGTCCCATCTTCTCTCTGGGTCAGCTACAAAGAGTGCAGCATTTGGGCAAAGGTAGCCTTAGGGTGTTTTGAGACCTGAAAATTTTTTTGGAGACATGAAATTAGCAACTAAACAAATCACAATTCTGATTTTGGCTATGCTGTTTACTACTGCTAAAGTCAAAGACTTAAGCAACTCCTCTGAAGCAACCAGGTTTGAATGCCAGCTCCACCTCTTACTGTCTAGTGACTTGGGAGTTACTTCCCCTCTCTGAGACTCAGTTTCCTCATCTTTAAAATGGAGATGATAGCACCTATGTCAAAGAGTGGTTGAGTACAAGGGCTTATGATCCTGGGAACATGGTCAGCACTTTATAAATGGAAGCTATAGAGCCACCATCTTGGGTGATCTAGAACTGCTTCTAGAACTGAGAATATTCTTAGAACCGCCTTAGACCCAGATCGAGTTCCTGAAGATGTCTGCAAGCCATTTATTAAGTATCTAGTATGTATGATGTCCACAGTAAATAGTGCTTAACCCTTAGGCTTGCAACCTCAGTTTCCCTTTGAGGCTGTAGTTATTCCGTCTATGAATAAGTCCTGCAGGTACCAGCCTCTGGGCAGAATACAAGGGTCATTTGTCTCTCCTCTTGAGGACCCTAAGTTCAAGCCTCCTCAAAACAAGGAGGAGCCTACAAACATAGCAATACCACCAGGGCAATAATAGAGGCATGCTTGGGGGACACAGGAGCACAGGGGCTTGAGACACACTAGGCCAGACTTCCAGCTCCAGCCAAGCACATGTGGGCCCATGGGTGGGCCAGCACATCAGGAGTAGAGATCACTGAGGGTGAGCCAGGATGGGGTAGTTTATAAGAAATGAGGCTTAGTCTTTTGCTAGAAAGCCATTTAACCTCTCACATGCAAAATAGGAGTGGAAGCAGTCTATCGCTTGTAGGGCAAGGATTCAATGAGGTAATTAATGGAAGTTGGTGCTTGGCACGTGCCAAGGCTCCATATGTGGGATCTCCCGCTGCTGTGTGGGGCCGTAGGAAAGCAGCAATACCTGGCAAAGGCTTTGCCTGGCCCTGGAACAGGTTGAGGAAAAAATAGAAGAGGTGGTAAAGTGGCTAGCTGAAAAGAATTAAACGTCTCTGACACAGGAATAATTCTATAAACGTTCTAAGTCAACCCAAGGCACGCGAGGACATCCTTATCGTCAGTGTTGAGTCATCATCCCGGCCCAATTCCAAGATCCTGTGTGTATAGGAAGTGCGCACGGTGCCGGATCTCCGAGTAAGGTTAGGGGTATACGCTTCCTGCTTCCTAAGGCAGGATAGGAGTGGAGTAGCTGGCAACACTGAAGATTATGTTGATTGGAAAGTCAGGCTTGTTGAAACTTGGTGTTCCTTTCTTGGTGGGCCTCCAGACCCCAAGTGTACCACTTCCTGTCCCCTCCCTTCCTTCTGACCTCCTGGCACAAGCCCCTTTTCCATGGGTGTGCCCAGGCTGTGGCCTGGGGCTCGCTCCCCCTTGAGAGCTGGCATTTGTGTGAAAAGGGCTGCTCCCGCACCTCCCCTTTAGCCGCCTCACTTTCCCCTCCTGTGGCTGGAGCACGAGCTGACAACTCTGGAAACGGGGTCCTTCAGAAGAGGCTCCTGTGTCTTGGGCCCCCTTTGGGTGACAGACATGCTAAAAATGGGAAGGACTTATATGACAACTGTTCTCTGGCAGCCCCATCAGAATGACGTGACCACAGGCTGTTGCTTATTTGGAAAAATGCATTCCAGACCAGTTTGCGTATCAAGAGAACTGTCAGCCATTATGATCCTTGCTGAACTAAAGAGCTGAAACAAAAGTTCACTTTTATTATAGGTATTGGGGAGGTAGGTTGAGAATCTGACCAATAATGAGAGGGAATTTTACCTGAGAACCTTAAATGAAAAGATATTCTGAAATGTTATGATCATTTACTCTTTGAAGCATTTGGGATATTTCAGGCAGTTTGCTGCGAGAGACAGAGAGGCGTGAACATCATCAGGGCTTCCATTTACATGTAACTTCTAGGAAGCTGTTGGGGCCAAGGGAAAGTTTCCCTTTTGTCCTTTGAAGTTTCCCTAAAAATTACTGATAAGAAGCAAAAAAATTTTTTTCTTTTCTTTCTTTTCTTTTTTTTTTCTTTTTTTTTTTTTTTGAGTCAAGGTCTCACTCTGTCATCCAGGCTGGAGTGCAATGGCACAATCTCATTGCAACCTCTGCCCCCAGATTCAAGACTTCTTCTACCTCAGCCTCCTCGAGTAGCTGGGAGCACAGGCACATGCCACCATGTCCAGGTAATTTTTGTTTTGTTTGGTAGAGACGGGGTTTCACCATGTTGGTCAGACTCCTGACCTCAAGTGATCCTCCCGCCTCGGCCTCCTTGGATTACAGGCATGAGCCACCACACCCGGCCAAGAAGCAAATTAATAGGAGAAAAGGCATACAGTTTTATGTGACATAGGAGCCTTCAGAATGAAGACCCAACCCCCCAATGGAGTGCAGAAGCTTATACCATCTTGAGGTTACAGAAGAATGGGGGCTCAGAGGATGGCCAAAGACAGGTTATGGTGGTAAATCAGATTTTAAGCAGCAAGACACGTTATGGGAGGGAGAAAAGTAAGGCTTGGCTAGCAAAGGGGGTCTTGTTATTTAGATGAAAGCTCACAGGTAGCAGCCTCAGAGAGAATAGATGGTAAATGTTTCTTTTAGGCCTTTAAAGGTGTCAGCCTGTCAGTTCATCTTTTCTAGATCTAGACAAGGGAAAGCCTCAGAGAAAACCTGGCTGCATCAATGCAGATTTTTCTCTATAAATACAAATCTCCTGCACAAAAGACAGCTTTGCAGAGCTACCTGTTTTTGCTGGCTCTCTGACAGCCATCCCAAAATATGTCAAAAAATATATTTTGGAGTAAAATATTCTGATTTCCTTTAACACCTTTCCTGACAGCCTCCCCCACCCCTGCATGAGTGGATTCAGTGCTCTGACTTTGTGCTGCCACAGCCCCTGCAATGGTCTGAGTGAGTGAGCCTCTCTCAGCCCCCTTTGCTTCCCTGTGTTCCCATAAAGTATCAGTGCTCCAAGGGCAAGACCATGATACCTGATGTATGGAAGGCACTCAGTGAATATTTGTTGAATGAAAGAAAAGGCAAGCCAGACACCTGTAATCCCAGCACTTTGGGAGCCTGAGGCAGGCGGATCTCTTGAGGTCAGGAGTTTGAGACCAGCCAGCATAGGGAAACCCCATCTCTTCTAAAAATACAAAAATCTCTTCTAAAAAATAAAAAAAATCAGCTGGGCGTGGTGGTGCATGCCTGTAATCCCAGCTACTTGGTAGGCTGAGGTGGGAGAATCACTTGAACTCAGGAAGCAGAGATTGCAGTGAGCAGAGATAGGGCCACTGCACTCCAGCCTGGGTGACAGAGCAAGACCCCGTCTCAAAAAAAAAAAAAGAAAGAAAGAAAGAAAGAAAGAAAGAAAAGACAAACAATGACTGACCCCAACTAAAGGAGTTTAGGATCTCCAACAGGGAAGTAAGATCTGTTCCCAAATAATTATAATGCAAATAAGGAAAGAGAGTCACAAACTACACCCCCTGGAAAATCAAGATGGGGAGAAATAATAACAAGGGAGGAAGGTGGTTGTCTGGAAACCTCAGGAAAAAAAATGCTGGGCAGGATGTCAGAGCCCCAGCACGAGGAGGTGGTTGACTTGAGTGTTGGTAAGAAAAATTGACTGATAACAGTATAGGTTTGAAGAAGGAAAGTTTATTAGAAAGAAAGAATACTGCAAAAGGGTGCAGCAGGGCACTCAGTGAGAGAGGACTGAGCGCACTGTGGTGGATTTTCTTCAGGAGTGTTTATGGACCTTAAGGCGGAAGCTTAGGGGCAATTTGGACCATACTGGCCACATAGGTCATAAATGATTACATCTGTAGATGTTTTGGTGCCTTAATGTCAGCAAGGGTTGCACAATGAGTTTCAGCATGCCATTCCAGAGATGTGTAGAAATTCTAGTTACTTATAAATTTGGAGGGAAAGAAATCTGGGACCAGATGCCTGCTTTAAATGATAGGGAAGTCTAATTACTTCTGATTTTCCCAGATAAAGAATTTGGCCTGTTTGATGGTCACCAGGTGGTCATTGCTCCCTTCTAAATTCCTCAGATAAGGAGTTTTTGCCTCTGGGGCCTGCTGGATGGTCACCAGGTGATTTTGCTCTCCTCAAAAAAGTAGCATTTAATCTGAGCCTTAAAGAATAAGAGTTTTTCTCACAGGTGTACAACAGGAGGGTGGGACTCAAGGCAAATAGCTCAAGCAAAGGCCCAGAGGTAGGACCATGAAAGGTATGCATGGAGAATGATGCATTCCTGGTTTGGGT